AATCATGCTGCATGACAATAATCAACCAGTGATGTGTTCAACAACAATCTCACATGCCTGACTAACAACACAGTGACCACTGAAATAAGTACAGAAAAGAGGCCACAAAATTATAATAATAATGCTCTTTATGCTTCTTATCTACCAACCTGAAATGTTATTCTTTGTAAATGCCCATTTCTTTCCATATTTCTACACGTTTGGCACATAATTATTTACAGGCTTTGTGTCCATGTGTACTTGTTGTAATCCAGCTGTGTTGTACAGAGCCCTGGGCCCAGTGATTACAGACCTCCATCACAGGTTAGAAGTCATGAGGTACTTACTCTCTTCAGGGGCACTGTGCTTCTGAACCAGTTATAGTCAGGAGACACTTTAATCTCCTCCATCTGAGGACACATTCAGAGACAGACATTCAGCAAGTACAGTGACTTCAGCAGCTAAGTTACATCACGCACTTGGTTATTAATGCATTACTTAACGCAGAGTAAAAACCAACACCTGCCTCCTTTTACATTAGCTTCTCTGCTAACTGTTAAACATGAGCGTGTGGCTGCAGTTACCACTCGTTAGCGAGCAAATATATTTAGTGTATCTAAAGAGGATTTATGGGAACTGTTACCGTGTTCGCCGTGGATGTTAAAGTCACCGTGTCCGAGGAATTTTATCCATATCTTGGTAACATTTCTCCTCCGGCTGCCTGCCTGGTCATATGACTCCGGATTCACACACACTTCCGCAAAGCTTCTGCCACCGCCTACCGAAAACCCACAGCCCCTGTCTGTCTGTCTGTCTGTCTGTCTTCCTGTCTCACACCATAGACTGTATATAGTCTCACACAGACTAGCTTTAGCCCTCTACCATCATGTAGCTACAGCTACGTTGCCAGAGACTCGAGCTAGCCTAGCAATATCCTTCTGCAGCCGTTAGTCTGTTTCAGCCTGGTCTGTATGTGCTACGTCTACGCATGCGCACACAAATATCCACCGCAGGGACGCTGACACAATTCAACAATTCATAGCTTTCACGTCACAGTGCAAGGAAAACGCTCCGGCAAAAAGAGGTTATATTCCGCTGCCTGCCAACCGATAAGCAAGTGATACACTGTTAGTTTGAGTTGCTGGAAATGCTGGCTGGTTTTTGTGCTTTCGGATTTACTAATTGAGGAGGTGACAAGGTGAGGGATTCCCCACCTGGCGGTTTTTAATGGCAGAAATGCCCAAATGCCCAAAACTTGCAGTTTGTTTTCATATCTTTCTTTTTGTTGAAAGGTGATCCAAATAAAATGTGACTGCTTTTGCGTCTCTACGGAATGCTGAGTTCACTTAACAACTGCCTTTGTGAAGTTAAAAAATGGATGTCAAATAATTTCCTCCAGCTGAACTCAGACAAAACAGAAATCCTGGTCATTGGGTCTCAGCAGATGGCAAAACAAATACTGCCATCTGCTGGTTCCCTAGTAAATCACATTAAGCCTGTGGCAAAGAACCTTGGTATTTGGTTTGATGGTAATTTAAATTTCGAGCAGCACACCACAAAGCTTGTTCAATCATGTTTTTATCAACTTAGAAATATAGCAAAAATTCAATCTATGTTAATTTTTAAGGACACCGAGACCATTTTACACACCTTCATCTCATCACGCCTGGATTATTGCAACAGCCTTTTCACCTGTTTAACCCAAAAATCTACTGATCAACTCCAGACTGTCCAGAACTCAGCTGCCAGGCTTTGACAATGAAATATGACCACATTACTCCTATTTTAGCTTCATTACCCTGGCTCCCAGTGTGTTTTAGAATTGACTTTAAAGTTCTGTTGATCACTTTTAAAGCTCTTCATGGCCTCTCACCTTGTTATATTTCTGACCTTTTAGTCCCCATACGCACCAGCACGTACCTTGAGATCCTCGGGCAGAGGTCTGTTGTCTGTTCCAGAGTCTCGACTGAAAACTAAAGGGGACAGCCTGCCCGAGGAAATCAGGTCGGCTGAGTCAGTGAACTCTTTTAAGCCCCTTCTTAAAACATACCTTTATAGGAGAGCCTTTCCCGATCTTATTTGACTTTATTTTATCCCTTTTATTTTATTGTATTTTACTAATTTTATATTAATCTGTATTTTAGTCTTTTCAATGTTTTCATCCTCTTATCTTGTTTTTTTGTATTATTCTTTACACTTGTTAAAGCACTTTGTAACTTGTTTTTGAAAAGTGCTCTACAAATAAGGATTATTATTATTATTATTATTACGGGGGAGTCCTGGTGTGAGCCGCATCCCCTCTGTTGTTTTGCCCTCCAGGTGACTGAAAACTAGGAATTGCTGGCACATTGCTGGAGGATATGATGTCAGGGCTGTATGATGTGGATTTATTTTGGACATTATTATGGCATATTATTATTGTGCTTCCGTATGACATTAACAACTAACATCTGTGCTGTAGTATAGCTAGTTCTACAAAAAGAAGCATCCGACCTACTATGCTTGTTATTGCTTAAAATAAGGCTTAATGTTCACACACTTTACCTTCCTCATTATTACAACATTATTACAACATCACCTGCTAGCAATATTAGTCATGCAATATGCTTTCACAAAGTTCGCTAACCTACAAAATAAACAGAAATAAGCAATAATAGTTAATGTTAAAGAAAATAACAATTGCATAGCCAGCCAGCCACTTTCGTCCATCACTGAGTCACACTCTGACTTCCCAAAACTCATGTTCAAGATAAGTGATGTAAGTGATCTGTTGTTGAAGAAAGCTTTTACTCTCTTCAACTTAAGTAATTGATAGGGTTAGGGGGTTAGGCTAGTTTTATGTTGTGGTAAACTTCTCTTAGCAGGTTGGCCACTTCAATTTCAAAACTGTTTCAGAAAAACCTTAACACACTGATGATCTTATGTTGTGATTGTGAAGCTCGTGAGTTTTTGTTTAACTGCGTGGTGGTGGGGTGGCAGAATAGTTCCATGCTTCGCCATGTAACTTGACTGTACATGCTCATATGAGTACCAAACGTTACATGTTTGATAACACATCCCTGAACACATCTACATGCTAATATTCACTCAAAGTCAGAGAGCCACCTTCTGGCAAAAGGAAGTGACCTTCAAAGAAGCAGCCTCTGCAGCACATTTTACCTCCATGTACAAAATTTCTGTGGCACATATATCATGTCCAGATGTATAGAAAAGCCTCTTGGAGCCATTCCCTAAATCCAACAGGGAGGCAGCCATTTTGGATTTAATGGTAATTTATGCCGATTTATAGGCTCTGTAATTTAAAAAACTTCTTCTAGAGAATTAATCCGATTGACTTCAATTTTTTGTTGTGCAATCTAAAAACATTGGTGATAAAAAGTTGTACAAACTATGATTTCTTGTTTCACGGTGTGTCCGTGGCTGCGAAGTTCCATCCTTCCCCATGAAACATGTACGGCAAATATGTCTGACATTGGGCCAAATCTTTTTCAAGCCATTACATGGTGGGCCAGAACATTATTTCAGTCAAATTATTTCAAACCCTTGGACAGCCCTATTGATGTACACGTTTAGCTTAATCGGTAGAGTGCGGGACTTCCAGTCGATCCCAAAGTCCTACAGACTTTTTTTTCTCCCTTGTTAAACAAATTGATTAGCCTATAAAGACACTTTTTCACATGCTCGCAATAAAGCATGTGCTGCAGTGTGTGTGCGTCCCGGTGTTTGATCCGCATTCATAACCTATGGCCACTAATTTTCATTTCCCTGAGGAAATTCACGGGAATCCAATCACACCATTACTGACAGCTTTGACAGAGGTGTGTCAAGTAAGCCAGTGACTCTTTCGAATGTCCTTCAGAACTTTTCACAGTAAAAGCTCTCAACAAACTCAGTATGAAGCATTGCTGCATTGCTGCGTTCTCACACTTTTATTTTGGAGGTACAATCCCTTAAGAGGAAGTGATTATGTGAGTAACTGTTGCTGTCATGACTGAGATCTATTTCAGCATCAGCCACTATCAATTGTTTTATTTTTCTGCTATTAAAGCAATCTGGCCGGGGGCCAGATATTATTGCTGGTGGGCCAGTTCTGGCCCGCGGGCCACCTGTTGCCGACCACTGCTGTACATGCTCAAATCTGTACCAAACATGCGTGACAACACTCTGAACACATCTACATGCCATTCAGTTATAGTCATAGTGCCATCTACTGGCAACAGCAAGTAAGTGTCTGTGTGACAATCATCATGCAATTCACATGAAATGAAAAAAAATCGGCTTTTAACTAGAACCCAAAGGTACGATCACATCACTCCTGTTTTATCCTCTATACATTGGCTCCCTGTTTGTTTTAGGACTGATTTTAAGAATTTATTGATTACTTTTAAGGCTCTCCATGGGTTGGCACCAGCTTATATCTTTGACCTTACTCCTCATACTTATGAACCTCTGCGTAATTTGAGATCTTCCAACAGGGCTCTTCTGTCTCTTCAGGTGTCTAGGCTGAGAATAGAACTAAACGGGACAGAGCCTTTGCTGTCAGGCCCCCCAAGGCTCTGGAACGACCTGCCTGATGAAGTAAGGCTCTCAGAGTCAGTGTCTTCTTTTAAATCTCTTTTAAAAATACACTTTTATCGGAAGGCATATCTGAGTTGCTTGTTTTATCTTACGGTTTTTATTTTAGTCATATAAAGTTGCTATTTATTCTAGTCTTATGTTTATAGTCACTCTTACTTGTGATTTGTAGTAGTGTGATTTATGTGGGGTGGCGGTCTATCTATCTGTGGAAATCAGTATTGATACTGAGTAAATTAACCTGGTAAAATAAAGTCAACTCAATTTAATTAAGGAAAGCTTAGCTGTATTTCTGTACAGTATGTGTTTTTTTACTAATAAAACCACGGAGAACAACATAAAAACACATGGTCCTCAGTCACATTGAGTCGTGGGCTGCGGTACCAACTTTAGCCACTGCAAGTTGCTGGCGATGTAACCTACGGAAGGCCTAAACGCTGCCGCAAACAGGAAAGTGAAGAAGACAAACGGACACCAACAAAACATGGCGTCTGTGAAGAATTGGTGGGACGAATGAATGCAAACTATTTGGCATTTTACAGAAATATTGTCATAGGTTCAGTGTATTATCGAAGAAGAGATGGACAACACATATCACCACGCTCCGCCAGATAAACAGCAGTCTTCCGTCTATAATGGCGGCTATCCGGAGACACCGTACGCCGCTAACAGAGCACCGCCGAGCGGCGCGGCTCATGGACCGACACAGCCGGACCACACCGCTTCACGGTGGACACCTTCACTGGGATATGACGGTAACCAGTACGGATTAAGGTGCGATTTCCCCGCACCGTCTCCAGGAGCAGGAGGGTTCGGGGGGCCCTGCTTGCCCCCTCCGTATGGATTTGATCCCTCCGTCCCCCCGCCTCCTTTCGGCTGTCCACCACCCGGACACTTCTCTATCGTGGCGCCAGCCGCTCCGCTCAACGCATACAGCAGCAGGGAAGCCTCGACCTTCCAAACATTTACCCAGCAGTTCAGACCCGGGCCTCAGACTGTGCCGTACAACTTGGACTCCAACCAGAAACAACAGCATGGATACGAGGATTTCTCAGAGAGTGGAGCCCCGTTCGGCTGCCCGCTATTTCCCGTTAAAGACCACGACAGGGGTCCGGGAACAACAACAACAACACGAGCTGAGGATGAAACCTCACTTCAGAGGAGACGGGATCAACAGTGGCTCAGGCGTTTCTTACAAAGCAAGGACAGAACCTCCAAGGTCCCACCACAGACCCAGCGTCAGCAACACGGCGCTGTCCCGGACCTGAGACGGGCTCTGTACCGGGCAGCTCAGCTCGTCGCCCAGCTGGCTGAGTCCTGTGAAGCTCTGAGGACCAACGTGGACAACCACTGTGTTTGGACAGACTCTTACTTAATGGCTTTAAACGTGAAGACAGAGCTACAGGACAAACTCGGAGTTCTCAGTGACAGGGAGACTTTAGACAGCTGGAAAGCTAAATTGGCCCGTGTTGCTAAGAGGAGGGCCCGGCGCCTGAGAGCCAGGAGGGTGCAGCTGATGGAGGAAGCGCAGAGAGAGGAGCGCATCTCCGAGAAAGAGGCTGCCATAGACAAGTGGAGGACGCAGCAGATCCAGCGAGTGGAGGAGAAGAAGAAGGTAAGTTCAGAGGATTTAAAGATGTAATCACTTCTTTTGTCCACTTGGGGGCAGCAGAAGTATGAACCTTGTTAACACCTTACAGTCAACGGAGGTGAATGGAAGTTAATTTGTAGTATGTGTAGCAGAAACTGTCCCTTTTAATAACTTTTGACATGATGTCTGGGGGTTTGTATTCTATCTCTCCATCACTCCACGCTAGGGCAAATTATATTAGCATTTATAGAACATTTACAGGCTTCGGGTCCAATGTTTCCAAAAGCAAGATGTATAGTTCTTAGAAACATCAACTATGGACACAATGATCATATTCTTAGACCCTATCAGTCTGCACATGAATCTATACATAAAATTTCTTGAGTGGGCACATTGTTGGACACAAACATTTCTCTGGCACTACTCCACCTAGGGATTTGAAGCACAATTCTCAGTGCATCATTATAAGCCACTCAAAGTTATTTTCATTTTAAACTCACTAAAATTACACCATAGGTAGGCAGTGTACATTGGAGTGCAATAGGATTTAAAAAGTGAGATTTTAACATCGGGAGTGCACATGTGGAATTTGCGTGCCAGCATGTTTGCCTGCCCGTACAGTTTACCACATCATCATCATCATCACAGAGGTCATCTCTTATCACATGCCCCAGATATTTAACTTTCTTTACAACCTCTAGTGGTTCACCTGCCAATAAGAAAGAAGGATAGACACACTTCATATCCTCCTTGGTTCTGGCGCTCAGTACCACACTCTTCACTGAGCTAAATTTTATATCAAACTTCAGTCCATATTGGGAACATATTCTAAGAAGTTGCTGAAGGCCAGGACTAGAGGGAGACAGTACCACCAAATCATCAGCATAAAGCAGATGATTAATGAGACTATCCCCCACCAAGCAGCCAGTTATACAGCCCTTTAACAGTTTCCCATGATTGATACGATCAAAAGCCTTTGACGCATCCAGGAAACACAAAGACTGTGCTATTGCGTGATCTGTACCTATGGACAATTTCTTTAAGTGCATAAATACACAGATCAGTTCCATGCTTGTTCTTAAAACCAAACTGATGATCTGTTGACGCTGTGTGTTCCGCAAGCCTATCCATAAGGATCCCGTCTATTACCTTAGATGTTGTACTTGCAAGTGCAATCGGTCTATAGTTATTCATACTAGTTATCTTACCAGCCTTATTTTTAACTACAGGTACCAGTAGGATAGATAACATGGATCCAGGAAGCCTGCCATGCTTCATAAACCCAGAAAAGCATAGAGCAAGTAAAACTGAAATACTTTGACTAGAGTATTTCAGATGTTCTGCTGTTATTCTATCCCGCCCACAGGCTTTGTTCATTTTAAGTTTGTCAATAGTATAACATACTTCCTCCGGCCTGATGACTACACCATCACTGTGAGGTATCTCTCCTATATTAAACCCATCGCTCTTCACACAGTTAAAAATGTTCTCATAGTGTCTCCTCCACAGCTCTGCAATGTTTTCAGGTTCCGTAATGCCATCAGTACTATAGGGCAATGGCATTTTGCTGTTATTAACCACTTTCACCTCCTTCCAGAACTCATAAACATTATTAGTTTGCAACTTTCTCGCCATAGAGTTCGCCCTCATAGTCTGCTCATTTCTTTTTATAAAACGCACAGCATATTTGAACCTAGCAATAGACCGTACCTTACGCTCACAGACTGGGCCATGCCTAGGCCTGCCTGCTAAGACCCAACTTCTAAATGCATCTCTTGCCTCCATATGAACAACATGGACATAGTCATTCCACCCTGGTCTTACAATATGTTGTTTCACCACCTTATTGGTTCACTTCCATCAACTAAACAGTTCACACTTCTATCATACATTACACATGGGTCATTATTGTGACCTACATTCTTACAGCTGCTCAATACTTCTCAAGTAACTTGTAATATTGCAAGTCGTCTTCTGTGAGCCTCGTCCAGTCGAGTATCTCACCTGATTTATGGCTGTCACTATAGACAAGCTCCGGTAGACCCTTAATATTTATGAGCATAGAGACAGGAATATGGTCTGCTGTGGCCAAACCATATAGAATCTCAGTCATGTGCATCAGCTGTAGATATACAATGGTCCAACCAAGATGTAGTATGCCAAGCTTCACTCACATGTGTATAGCTATCAGCTGGCAGACTACAACATAAAGTGCAACAATGAGAATATAGGCACAGAGTATATTTCATAGAAAGGATTATGATCGCTGACATTTATTCAGCTAAAGGCCAGATAACGATTAGGTCCACAAAGACCACTCCCCAGACTCACTAACAAGTCCAGACCACTACCTTCAGCATCCCTAGTGGTAGTGACCAGTGGTCTGTGGTAGTGGTGGGGGGAAAAATCGATACAGCATAATAACGCAATAGTTTCTGTGGCAATATTGTATTTATACATAAATTGTACATGAGAAGTTTGCGTTTTGGTACTATAATGATAAAATCAGTTGCTTTTTCAGTCCACTAGAAAAATAGTTTTCCTTTGGGGACACAGTGTAAAGTCGGAATAATATCGTATCGTCGGGCCTCTGGTCATTGAACCCCTCTCCATATTATTGTCAAAGCGTTAAAATGAGCTGATTTCCACATTTATTACTCGATCAGAGTCCTCTAATTCAAAACCAATGTCTGTATTCAGATCCCCTCATGCTGTGACATGTTATCCCCCACTTAGACGTATTAACTGTGAAGCACAATAGCTTTGTTTTGTCACGGAGAGACGATGAGGAGAGCATAGTAGAAAACAATGAATCTGTCCCTGTACCAGGAGCAGGAGCTGAAACTGGCTGCAGACGCTGTTCTCTGTGAGGTGAGGAAGAAGCAGGCCGACGTGAAGAGGATGCAGGACATCCTCAGATCTCTGGAGAAATTGCGCAGACTGAGGAAAGAGGCGGCATCGAGGAAAGGTGACTGTTGTATTCAGCCCTCTACCTTCTTCCCAGTCCCATGATAGATTGTGTGATGGCCATACTTAGGGTAACATAATATAGTAAAATAAATACCTACTCTTGAAAAATTAATTAAAATTTAATCAAATGTAAATTTTAGGAGAAATGCATTTTTCCCAGCTAGTGGGTTAAGATGCCCCCCCTGAGACACATTAAAGAACATTTTATTGATTACGTTTTTTGGTATCTTTAAGAAGGCTATGCTTTGGGTATATTATCTATTATAAAATAATAAAATGGGTGAGTCTTACCCCATGTTACCTTACTAATGCATGTTATCCAAGGACACTTGTTCAGGTTGTCCTCCAACCCCCAGCTAGTAGAAGCCAGAGGTGATAATATTGTCCTGGAACAGGCTGGTCCCACATCATTTATTCTCCCAAAAATCTATGAAATAAAAGTGAAGACACCTGTCAAGGAAGGGAATGACCAGCAGTCACCTACACATACCTGCAGTATGTAACTGTGTGTGTGTGTGTGGCAGGTATTGTCACTGAGCGGGACTGTGACGAGGACTTCAGCAGCCGGCTGGAGCAGCTGCGGCGGGTGATGAAGAAGAGGACAGCGGTTTACTCGGCAGAGGAGAAAGCGCTGATGGTGATGCTGGAAGGAGAGCAGGAGGAGGAGAGGAGGAGGGAGCGGGAGAAGCGGGTGAAGAAGGAGAGGGAGAGACAGCTGCAGAGGAAACTGCGAGTGGACGCCATGCTGTTTGGAGGTAACGCCGTAGTTAATAATTGTCCGTTGTTGAACAACAGTCTGATTAAATCACGCCGATGGTAATCGGCTTTCCCCTGTTTGTCCCACAGATGAGCCTCCTGCTGATTCTGCTCTGCAGCCCTTCAGAGAATATTACACTCAGGCCGAGCGCTCGCTGCACGCTTTACTTCAAATCAGGTTTGTCTTCACACAATTAAAAACCACATCAGCATCTCCCTGCAACCATGCTGCTATTGAATTGACCTTGAGGAAGATGTAATAACGTGTTGGGACTGTAAATTGTTTCTCCTTCAGGAGAGGGTGGGATGTGTTTGTGGTTGCAGCGGATCATCCTGACGGTTCTCCAGTTCCTCAGAGCTGGATCCTGCCAGAGGCCCCGTCGGACCAGGCCTGGGCCTCTGCCCTGCAAACTGCTGACACTGAGCCAGATGTCAGCTAGAGCCTGACGTCCAACACTCTCTGACTGAAAAGTGAAGCAACACCAAGTTAATGGTGTTGGTAAAAGTTTAAAACCACTCATCTTTTTCATCTGAACAGTCAGAGCTGTCGGACTGTAGAACTGTTTGTCAGATAATATATGATACAGTGATGAAGGAGAAGAAGAAAGCTTCTGTTCTGCTGTATTTACTTTTGAAAATGTTCTTATTTCTGGTCTCTGTTAATGGATTTGATGTGTTTTGTACCTCAGGAATAATAAATGCTTTGGGCAGGATTTCTTTTTGCTATTTTAATTTCTGAAAAAAATAAAACACAAAAACAAATTGTATTACCAATGAATTGTTATTCCCACTGAGTTTGTAATGACACCTTTCACATCACCCACAGTCATTTGGTCCATTTTTAAATTGATAACTGCTGCTTCAAGTTCAGTCAAAGAGGACATTTTGCCGTGAAGGAAAAGCCAGGATCCAAAAGTAGGATTCATCCTGTGAGAACTCTGATTCTACAGAGCAGTGCAGCCATTCGTTAATGAGATACCTTTACATGTGTGGGTTAACCCTTTCAGTGCCAGGCAGAAAGAACTGATAGATGAAAGGTCAGGAAGTCACCAGAATCATCAGAAGTCTATTATATGTTTTGGATTAAAGTGGTGATGAGTTTATGCCCTGCTGACAATCACACACAGTTTTGATCCAGGTGGACGTCATATTTTATATGTAAAGTGTTTCTGAGCAAACCTGAGTTTATTATACAATAATACTATAATCAAAGGACAAGTTTAACCCCAGCCAACATTGTTCGTGACAGGATCACACTGTAATCATCTGTTTGACTGTCTGAGGTGACTTTGTGTACTGACAGTAAGTCAGCTGACGGGGTTTACTGTGAGTCGCTAGATTAGTGTTCCAGGTGGTTCTCCTCTAATTTAACCTGTAGTCTCAGTCACAGCTTCACACGCACCTGAGAGTCTGACTGCAGCTGCGACACAACACAGGTAGGCTGGCGTTTGTTTTTTTGTAACATTCAGTTTAAATAGTCAAATGAATTCTACTGTAACACACATGTTGTTTAAAGATTAGGCTATGCTGTGCATTTAATTTGAAAGGTCACACATGCATAAAGTGCAGGAAATAAATACAAAATGCCACCCATTACTCCAGCCTTTTTAAAATGTAACTTTGTTGATTCAAGCTGGAGACTCATGGTAAATTCCAATTACAAAATGTCAAATGTTTGCCGGCATCTGAATGTGGTCGCACACTGTCTATTTTTTCTGTTTTAATAATTATGATGAATGAATGTTCGGAATAGCTTCACTAAGGACAAAGATATAGAAGAAGAAATAAAAGAAGTCAATAAAATTCAGTAAATAAAAGTACAGTGAATGAAAAACTATGATAAAAACAGATGAAACATAATGAATAAAAGCTTGAATGAAAAGAAGTGATTCCCTGATTCTGAAGCCAAGTTTTCTTTTTTGTTCAGAAAACCCTAAAATATGTGTTGGTTTTGTTGTGTATTTGCAGTGTATTTCTTTTGTGTTTATCATAAAACTGGAGCTAGAAAAGATGGACATCCAGTAGAGCTTCACCAGGACCCACATGTTTTACATTTTTGCTTTTCTTAAGTGAAGTCTGGTACTGGCCTTAAGCCAGGCTGCTTGGAACTCCACATACAGTGCATGTTGTTTATCCAGTAGCATCAGTTTGTGTTTTGCACGTCAGAGACAACACAATGAGCTTACGGAGCATGTGTCCTCTCTGCTGTCGTAAGTCCCGGACCATCTGGCTCGTTGGTGTTTTGGTGTTACTGGAGCAAAGATGTGATTAGCTTCCAAAGGACGGCAGGGAATGCACAGATGTACCTTGTAATCGCACGTCTGCATCTGCCTTATGGTTTACTCAGTCATACATGGTCAGGTTTTATGTGTGTGTGTGTGTGTGGGGGGCCCTCTTAGGGTGCACAGTCATATGCACCTGGATTTTTGATTGGACAATTTCTGTGTTCATCCATGTAGTCAGCTGTGCTCTTCTTCAGTGGTGTGCTGAGGCTGTAGGAGGACAGTTTGTAGCTGACGTTAATGCATAGAGGATGTCATGGAGAGGGGAGCATGCTGATTGGCTGTTAGAGTGGCATTAGTAAGTAGTAAGTAAAAGTTATTTAACATAGCACCTCTCACAGAACAAGTCACAAGGTGCTTTGCAATGATAAAAAAAATTGCAACAATAAAACAGTGGAGCAATCAGATTATCATACATAAGCATCACACATTATGAAACAATAAAAGGCATCAATCAATGTAATCAGTGTATTTGTGTATATTAAAAGGCGCATGAACAATCGAAATTATAGTATTTTTGAATTTTAAAGAGCACATGATTATTCACATTTAAAAGCTCACGGTGAGACAAAGGCCTGCTTAAATAAAAGAGTCTGATTTTTGAACACTTCAACTGAGCCAAACATTGCCGTTGATAGTGACTCCCACCGCCAGAGCATTTCATCACTATATTCAGAACTGGAGCATCACTCCCAGACACAGGTTACAGTCTGTGCTCTGATCAATATTTATTAGATCACAAGCCTCTTTTTGCAGAGAACGCTGCAGAGTGCAGAGAAATGTCCTAGGACAGAATGTAATGTGAACTTTAAGCTCTGCTTCTCCAAACATACTAACATCTGCCAGTCTACCCAGAGAAGGGTCTTATGGGTAACTGCAGGTTGAAGAGGTGCACAGCGACCTCTCAAATCTCAACAACATAGCGACCTGCAGGTCAAGCAAGCTGATTGGTTGACTCAAGTCCTGTCAGGAGGCGAATACATAAAAAACGCCATGCAAACATCTTCGAGGGACCACCGTGCAGGTTGGCCTACATGCAGCCTGGAGAAGTATTGCTCCAGCTTTTGTTGCTTCCACTTCATAGTACAGAGTGTTCAGAAACAAGCCCAGGGGAATGGTTCCACCACTTCCTGTGCAGCAGGCAGAATGAATGGACAACATCTTCCTCACATGTTGTTCCTGCTTAAAGACAGAATAGATAAGAGCAACAGTACTTTTCCTCCTGCGTCATACCTCGCCCCTTTCTGGGTGAAAGCAGCCCCTGTAATTTGACCGGTAGTAAATGCAAATTCTTGTCTTTGCCGATTTAATAGCATAAAATAAGAAAACCATATCCCCTGGTCAGTCAGACAAACAGTTATGTTATGTCATTGCAGATCAATGATCAGCAAGATTTAAAGAAATAGGGTTTGATGAGTGACCTTTGAGTCTGCCTTCACCAAAGCAGACAAATCTGACACAAGTACCTTATTGAATCTGCAGGTAGGCTCTTTCTAACATGTGTCACTTCTTCTGTTGTTAATATCCTGTATTTTGCTGTCTTGGTAGTCCATCCAATGTGACGCTACTGTAAACTAATTTCATCGCTGTGGCAAAGTGAAACCACATCTCTATTGTGATAGCCGTTTGTGCTCACGCAACTTTTTACTTCGAGCCGAGAAGTAGAAAACAGGTCGGTTTTAAAACCCACTTCCTAAATTACTTTGTTGTTTAGAAGGTAGGTCAGTTCAATTTATGTGAATTATTAACGTTAAAATATCCACTGCTCACAGCTGTGTTTGGTGTGGACAGTCTGTTAAACCAAACTCCATTTTAAAAGCAGGAGTTTTACGGTAGGGCCATGTTTTTTCACAGTAAAAACTTTAGTTAAACCATCACTAAGACTCGTTTCTGATTCACACACATCGGCACACGTCACTTACTCAGTAAGATTAATTAACTAACCTCTGATGAAGGGTTTGCCACAGAAGATTTTGAGTGAATGCAGTTGAAGCACTGTATCCTGTCTGTCTGTGTAGCTCAGTCAGACAGACCTGCAGCTCTTTATACAACCACCAGCAGAGGAGAGGGACTGCGATGAAAGCAACATAAGAACATACAGGCAGGGGGCAGTGTCTCTGCACATACAGACCGCCACACACAGCAGGGTCATGAGGGATGATTGAGAGGGATTCTTTTTGTGTGAGTCTATATATCAATACTGGTCTCTAATCCGGAAAAGATATTTAAATCTGGTGTCTTATCTGATTGTTTTAGTGATCACTCTGTCATTTATTGTGTTTGGAAAATCAAAATGCCACATTTCTTGTTACTGATGCTGTACTAAACAGTATTGCTTGTAATTGTATTTTGCTTCATGTAATTGTCTAATTGATTCACCTCCTGTGGATTCAACCCCTGTCTTTCTTATGTGATACTTTTGTATTGAATCTCTTATGTATTATGGGTTCCAATTGCGTAATGAGGTAAATGAATTGTACTTATTGAGCTAGCTATAACATGTCTGAGCTATGATGTGTCTGTGGTGAGGGTGTAAGCTGCCTAGTAACTCAATTGTGCATTTGAGTGTTTGTTTGTTTATGTTTTTCCTGTATTATGTATATGTGTATTTTGGACCCTCTTGAAAATGAGATGCTGCATCTCAAGGGGCTATCCATCAATAAATTGAAATATATTGAAATATTGTTTATTCATATATATGATGACGATCCCACGACAACCAGATCCAATCAGTTGGGCTATCGTGTTAAATCCCGACCCATAGCAAATAAGTCCTCTTCTACATGTCCAGACCTTTAGAGCCCAGACAGAAGATTCATTGCAGACTCATCTCACTGGATGTGGAAAGTTGCTTAGTGGCTGGTCTTTTATCAGAGGAAGAGCAGCAGAAATGCTTCTGGGAAAAGGAGTTGACGACCTCAGCTTTAACATCTTAGCATTACTAAATTTACCATGACACAGAGATTTACAGCAGGCCAGATTTAGAAACAATCGAAATAAGAGACACCGTCTGTTTTGATTCGCCTGCATGGCTGTTCAGTCTTCCTGTGGAAGGATTGTTTGTGTAAATGCACTCTGCTGCAGTGGGATATTGTGGCCATCTTCAACTGATATATTTAACTAGTAAAGAGTCAGAGGATAAATGTGAAATAAAGATTGATGATGATAATGATGCCATGGCCATTCAGAATCTAGGGTGTTGCACTACCACAGTTAACTATTACAACTACCTACTGCATTATTGTTTTGGGTTTTTCTGCCAAAACAGGATGAGAACGTTGGTAATTTGAAGATAGCTTTTTATAATTCTTGCAGCAGTTTTTTCCCTTTCCCTTCAAAAGCTTTTCCTCATGTACATTATTTTCTTTTCTTTGTGATCTGTCACTACGGTTGAGAACACCCTGTAGACCGGGGTTTGAATCTGGTTGGATGACTGATTTCCCACAGCCTCCTAAAATGATTCAATTTAAAATATTTTGGCAGGAAAGTTGGTAATAGGTACATTGAGACAATATTGATCAAATGTATTTCTTTGTTGAAAACATGACTCTTGTACAGTGTTGATTCAATGTTGATTACCACTGCTGTAACATTAATGTTTTTCAAAATCAGGTTGAAAAATAATGAAAAGTGATGAGCAGTTAGAAAAACTGTACAGTGACATGTGTGTGTATCTCAGTTTATGGGGTTCATGTGCCTGCACTGTTGGTGAATGGTATCAAGAATGACTCAAATCTGAAGTAAAACTCTGTGTGCGTGTTTTTGTCTCCCAGTGAGCTGAGCAGTATGGACGATGTCCCCCTAAAGATGCCACAGGGTGTCTCACAGGAAGTCATAGAAGATGTCAACATTACTGTCCCTGATTATCTAACCATACTGCAGGAGACAGAGGTGAGTGGTTAATAGTGAGTTTCAGCTCATTGTTTGGGCAGGGAAAAAGGTTGTACACTTCCTGATGATGTGTCAATGTTATGTTTACAGCTTGTTTCTGCTGCAAACAAGTAAAATAAAAGAATTGATGCAGGTTAAAGTTGCATAAATTGCGACTCGACTAGTCATTAGCCTGTCACTGATCTTAACGACCCCTTGACCTTTCCTCCAGCATTGCCCATAGTGCAAACTTTAGCTTCTCGCATGCCAGTGTGACTTTCTTTGCATTCACTACTTTAGTGGAGTTTATTAGCCTTGAATGTTTGCTAATGTGGCTTTAGAATGTTAGCCTCATGTCTGGGGTTTTTAGGGTTACCACTAGTGGGGCAAAAATTTAAGTTAAAGTTTGGCGACCAAAGGAAAGGCTATGACAAACTGGCCATACAACTACTTTATGGATATGTAATGAAATGAAATGTGGTTCAGAGATTCATGTTCTGAGCTTTTGTAACTTTGGTGATCCTCACTTTTCATCTAGTGCCATGATCAGGTCAAAATGTGTCCAATACTTTGATTTATGACCAAATACCTGTAGAACTGATTACATTCCCATCAGCCTCAGCTGTACTTTGTCTTTAGCGCTAAATAGCTGATGCTAACATGCTAAACTAAGACTAGCCTAAGAAAGCGCTAGCTGCTAGCATATATCACTGTTTAGACATGTCATCATAAGCTAGAGTTGGACATTTGATATTGGTGGTGAGCCAAAAAGAAAAATTAAGGGATCATCAGAGTGGATTGGTTTCAAGGTAATCCATGCAACAGGTGAGATATTTCACTTGAGACCAGTACTTGACCAACAGACTAGAGAAAAGAGAGAGTACAGAGTAGTTGTCACATGTCTTTTGTCCATGTCACAGTATGAGTTCAGTCTGGAGAACTGGGTGCTAACTGGGCTGCAGAGTGGCTTCACCAGCCAGCATCGGCCTCCACTTTCCTCTTCATCAGGACTGCAGCCATCTTGTCCGCCATACTGGATGATGTTCAGCAGCCCGCAGGAGAGCCGCCTGGCCAGCCGCCATTGCTCTGACTTCTGGGAGCCCAATCCTCGACAGCGCTCCCACAGCCTCAACCCCACCGTCCTGCGCACCAAGTTTGTCATCTCAGACTCTGAGGATGAGGGTCCGAGTGCTGCAGAGAAAGCCAAGACAGTGAAAGCCTGCCCGGATGGACAGCGTTCTGCTGCTTCCTGCCAGCGTGGTCAGAGGAAAGCACAGAGAGCCTTCGTCCCAGACCTCCTGAACCCTCCGGCCTGCCTCAGCAGCCTGCCACACCAGCGTAGGAAGAACCTACGACAGTGCTCCCTCTCAGTGCTGGAGACATCCAAACAACATGATCCCAATGCAGACATCCAATCCAAGAGCCTGTCCTCAAACAGGACCCCCAACACCAGAGCCCCCAACACCAGAGCCAATACAGTGGACAGGCTCCCCAGCACAACACATACGGTAAGAATTAAACATTTTAAATTAAGGGAACACATTATAGTGTGACCAGTGGAGCCTAATCAATTTAAATAGCAGTCTCACTCGAATCTAGAAGGGTGCTAAGGTGAAACCTAATGAAAAGAAAAAGCGTGTGCTCCTGATGTTTCCAATTGTAAAACATCTGATTTTCTGACATCTGGTTTTCAAGCTGTATTCTCCCACACAGACATTGCATTGTAACTGTTGGCAACAAGCTGTAAACACATCTCTGGTGTATTATTTTAATTAGGCACTGAGCTGATTATTTAAAAATGCTAATTAAAGTTGATGTGTTGAACTTGTTAGCAAACAGTTGCTTATTTCCACAACCAGCATTTACAGAGCAACTTGATCATTAATATGGAGAGCTCTGTTTTTGGTCTCCACCAGCTCCTGAGGGAACTCTCTGACTCTTTAGCTGCTAACTGTTCCACTATGTTCTCTGGTCTCTAACTGTGTCTGTCTGCTGTTTGCTGCTGAGTAGTGTACAGTGGCTATTCACAGCCTTTTCTCTGAAAATAATTTAATTAAATTCAGCTTTATTGGCATGAATGTCAAACAACAATATTGCCAAAACTTTAAATGCAAAAGAACAATTAATTTCAAACTGTTCACTAAATAAAGTTAATAAAACAGGAAAAATGTGTGTTAAAAATAAATAAATAATTAAAATACATAAATAAAAACATAAAACAGTAAGTGTATGTGTGTTGTGAAATTACTTCAAATGGTTCGTCAAATAAATCAAATAAAATAAATAAAACATAAAAAGTTTGTGTGTGTATTAAAAAATTAAATAAATACAAATAAAATAATATATTAAAAATAAAATAAATAAAATAGTAAACATGTGTGTGTTTGTTTGTGTGTGTGGAAAACAGCTGCTGCTGAAAACGATGCCATGAAAGTGGAATGAATGAACCTAAACAGTAAAGTTGATGGTTGATAATTCTCTCCATGTGTTTGTCACTACGAACGATGCCGTTCACATTACACTTAGCAGTTCCATCCATTTTTAATATTAAAATATTAAAAACAGGAGCTTTAATACTGGCAGACAGGCACTTATACTCACAGATTGTTTCATTTCATATCACATGAAGCACACAATGTTCATTTATAGATACCACATCGTAATATGTTGTAAGATGTCATCCCTATAAACAGTGCTGTTTGTATCTTGTAGTCTGAGCAGTATTGACCAATTACGTTTGAGCGGGCTTTGGTTGCGTCATGCAGATAAACAGTCTGTGTGGGGAGTAAAAGAGGCTGAACACTGATGATGGCTTTTTATTAGCTTTTTTAAATTGCTTTTTATAGAGAATAGCCAAAATGCATCTTTCACTTTGTGCTTTAAATTTTTTTTTATTCACAACATGTCACTTTACCTTAACTATGAAAGCCTTATTACGCTACGTTGTCCATGTGTACTGAGTGAGAGTTTACAGCGTGGCTGAGGGAAAGCTAATGCTCTGCAGTACAGATAGCCCTCACTGTGGTCGGCAGGATGATGAATACAGCCTAAAGCTCAGGGCATTACCTTTTCCTGACATGAGCCCTACTATAAATCTCCACACATTTATAGACAAGCCAGAAACAGACAGGGTTCACAATAGTATCACACATACCCTCAATGCCCAAAACAGCAGAATTCATTTTAGACTGTTTATACAAGTTGGCAATAAGTCAGTCGTTAAGTGTCCTTTAATTCTGTGTAGGAATGTCAACACTGTTAGCTGGAAGAGGAAATTAATCCTAACCATCTGTTTTTTTTCAAGTTCACATTCCCAAAACGTTTTCAGGGATCTGCACTCTAAACATAGACTGTGTAAAGTCTGCTTCCTGAATCCAGCCAGGTTATAAAAGGTTCGTCAGGATTAGCAAGTGGAAGTCCTGTGAACATGTCTTTCTCTGCATCTCAGGTCAAACCTTCTGTCAGCAGAAAGAACCTTAAAATCAGATTCAGTCAGGCAGACTGAGTAGTGCTGCACTCTCGGTCTGTGTAAACACACACACTAATTACATTCTCTTGTTTCTTAATAGTCTCTCAGCCCAGACCCCTGTAGAACCCCCTCTGCGACCTCACCCTGCCTGGGTCTCCTGTCTTCAAGTTTGGACTCGTCAGCAGAGCTCCTGTCAGCTCTGAGCGCAGAGGAGAGAGAGCTGCTGGGGGCCATCACTGCCCGGGGTTACCCCCTCCGAACTGCCATCATTGCCCTGCAGAAGGCAGGCCAGCAGACCCCAGATCAGGTAAATTAGTGTCACATAAAATACATAAGACCTCTGACTTTTCTATACTGTCTGCCCCTCATACTGACTCTGGATCAGCTCATGATTATTACAGGTCTGACAGCAGATGTTGGCTGGCTCTGAGCCTGGACTGTAGCTGTGCACTACACACTGAACACTGACTTTTGAGGCCGATATTGATATCAGCATGTGGGAGTTTAAATAATCCATCCAATAACTATATATCGTGGTTTGGTATTTTTATGTCTAAACTGTCTTAAATGTGCAGCTCTTACTGTGTCAGTGTTTGCACAATGTTCCTATGTTTATTATACTGGACTGATATAATGACAACAAATTGAAGTGAACTGAATAAATTGGGACCCGGATACACAGTGAGCAGGACATTTTACAGTTTAAAAATCTACTTGTCAATGCTATCTATAATGGAGACTCTGTTTCTAAATGACAACATATTTGTTCTGATATTTACTATTCCTGAACAGCGGACATATACACTGATACTGATTAATGCTGTATATTATATTGGCCAATATATGAGCCTGGCTGATTTGTTGATCTAGCCTTAATTAAAATTGGACCTATTTCATTCAGAAAGAGCTGTATATCATTTTTACCATTCCAGAGTTTGAACCTTAAATCAAAGTATATGAGCTTATAATTGTAATACTACCAAAAACGTTGTACACTTTAGAAGGTCAAACTGTGTGCCATGTGCAAATTTGACGCAGTCAGAACGCCCACTCAGCCAAGCGGAGCTCAAAGACTGGAAGCAGCTGGAAACAGCTGTGAGCTTAACTCCACACACTCAGTAAGAAGCCAATAGTAACAAACAAGCTGAAACAGGTGTAGCTAGTGTTAGCTGTCTCTCTTCCAGATGTCCAGATTTGGCGATGGCAAATGACCAGACTATAAAAACTGACACACTCAACATGAAGTCAAGATTCAAATCACAGAGTAACAAATGGAGCCTTGACAGAACAGTGAGGCTGATGTTTCTGCATTGAAACACGTAACATCTTCATTAATTCTTTTTGTAATTACAATTTGAAAAAAAAAAAAATATATATATATATATATATCTTCTTTATATTGTCTCCACACAAGCAGAAAATATGTACCAACTAGCCAGCTGGAGGAGGCAATGAACTCTAAATACAGTATACTACCCCACTCTAAGCCAGTGTAAAAATAGGCCTCAGAGTTTCCACGGCGTGCTCTGTGTTACGTGTTTTCCCACTACATGGCCTGCTGCGTCACAAGCCACAGTACAGGGTTGATGGGAAAAAAGGCATGTGCAGGAAGCACCATTTTTGACATGAGAAAGATAGGAGAAAGTGGACTTTAGGAGACATGGAAGGGTACACTGGCTGATACATATTCATATTTGCTTGTTACAATTCAGACAAATTTCAAGCTCTTGATAAATTAGCTTATTTTTTTAAGCTTTAGCATTTGTGTAGCTTTAAAGTTACACAAGCATTTCCTCCACACACAGTAAATGACATGTGATCACCATAACAAATGATAATGACATACATGTTACATGCATGTGACATAAAGAGAAATGTTCATGCAACGTGTACATGAATAATCCTGCAGCGCTGATATGTGGAGCGTTTATAGTCTGATTCCAGACCAGCCCCTGTTAGCCTGTCTGTCTCTCTGTGCCTTTCCCTCCTATCAGTCAACAAGAGCTGATCTGGGAGCTGATAAATCACTTTAATAAGAAGTCATCAGCTGGGGAGAGCTAACGTCTTAATGAGCGTATTCTTGTGTCTCATTCTGGTGAGGTCGCGCTGCTCTCACACAGATTGCATTTCACTGCACGGATGTCTGAGAGACACCCTCGGCCTCTGCTCAGCCCCTGAGCTGAAATCAATTGTCTGGCTGTGTGCTGTCCTGTGATGCCTTCACTGCCTTTTTCCGTGCAACAGTATGCCTGTGGTGTCCTGCTTATATCATCATGAGTCTGTAGTTGGTTTCTCCACGCTTTGTGATTAAGGCTCATCGCTGATTGGAGTCACATGCAGACGGTGGATTAGTGTGAAAAGATAAAGATAGTAAGGCTCTAATCCTACAGAGATACACATCAACAGGTTTAGACTTTTAGAATAGACCCACGATGTGACATAAAAGATAATCATGAGCTTTAACCAGATGACGATGGTGGTATGTAACTAAGCACATTTAGCTGAGTACTGTACTTAAAGACAAATTTCAGGTATTTACGGTCTTTTAATTGTACTTTCTACTTCTGCTCCACTACATGTCATCCTTTTACTGCACTACATTTATCTGACAGCTAGAGTTACTTTCCAAAATGAAGACATTAGGAGCTTAAAAAATATGCTTTGTTAAAATTTAAAGTACCTAACAGTATATGCAATAAGAGCTTAGACTATTAGTCAATTAAACAATGAGACAATTGATAGAAAATTAACTGGGCAATTATTTTGATGATGGATTAAGTCATTTTTCATGCAAAAATGCCAAATATTTCATGATTACACTTTCTCAAATTTGAAAGATTTCCTTGCTTTCCCTCATGTGTAGTCATTTTAAGGTTTGGACTATTGGTTGGACTAAACAAACAATCTGAAGGTGTCACCTCAGGGGGCTCTGGGGAGTTGTGATGATGGACATTTCTCATTATTTTTACTGTGTGGTTTAACTAAAGTAAAGGATTCTCTACCACTGCTTGATGGGTAGCAGTCCAAACCAAAGATATTATTAGCCTTAAAGCTGGGGTAGGCAGTTTATTTTTTATTTATTTCAATATAGTTTGTTAAATTTGTTGAAATTCTCTTTACATTTCGACCGCAACAAATTAAAAAAAAGGTCCGGTATCTGTGGCTGTCGAAGGACTGTTAGAAGCACGGCCATTCATTTGATTGAGTCTGAATGCATGCCGCAGCTTTAACAAGTCGGATTATTACCTTTTATGTCGACAAACTGATTGGTAACAGAAGTCCAACTTTTTTTGAATGCTCTTTTCCATTTGGTCTTTGACCCAATATTTCCTACAATGAATATTTGTATATGTGTTTGCAGATCTTGAGTTACCTGGTTGCGTGTGACCATCTGTGTCAGCTGGGTTATGATATGGCCCAGGTAGAAGAGGCTCTGGAGATGTTTCAAAACTGTGAAACAAAGGTAAGACATGCAGAGAGATTACAACATCACATAGTCTTTAATCTTCTTAGAGACAACAAGGCCACAATTTCCTTTAAAATGGAGTCAGTTTTATTTCAACAATTGTGTAAAAAAACAACAACATAACAATGTCTTCGTCTTGAGGCGGAGGAGTTCCTTCACCTGCTGAGTCAGTTCAATGAGATGGGCTTCCAGCAGAGCGCCATCAAAGAAGTGCTGCTGGTCCATGAAAACCACCGAGAACGGGCGCTGGAGGAGCTCATGATGCGCGTGGCGTGACGGCAGATCAACACACACATACTTTACATAACTCAACTGCAACCTAAAATCTGTTATTTACTCCAGAAAACCATGAAATTCCTGTTGATAAAGGCGCAGAGAGAACGACTCGACACACATTATTCTAGTTAAAGATGGACGGTGGCCTTCAAAAGTATATTGTTGAAATATTGCAATTATAAAGAATGATGATGATGATGATGATGCTTCACTCATGACTTGGCTGACAGGGTTTATTACATTCATGCTTTCTTTGGTTATGAAAACTGCACTGACTAAACTCGTGTTATCTGAGTAACAGTTTGAAGTAATCTGACTAGTTGTAATTGTGACCGATTTATTAAAGATGTGGTATGAAACTACACTGTGGCAGTGTCTTCTATTTTTTTAACAGAACGGTGATTATCAAATGATAATTCCGGTTTATCATGTTATTTTCAGAGGTGATGCAGGAAGTGGATCTGTAAATTGTGGAGGATGTTTACAACAGACAGTTTGGGTTATCATTGTATTCTTCATCTTTTTTCCCTTCTTCCAAACACATCTGTCCGTTTCAAATCTGTCAGATGTTTCTTGCCATTTTGGACTTTTTACGAACCACATATCCAAAATAATGAATATAAGACGCACGTGGTGATAAAGCAGAATGATCTTTCCGCAGCACTTACAGGTTATCAGAGCATTGTGGGGAGAATCTGGGACCGTCACCGAGGTCTCTGAGGTTTGGGTCCTGAGTCCGACCCAGAGAGTTTTCCATGAGGGAGACAGTGGCTTTAGGCAGCCTCATCAGAAATGTATATATGGATCCAATCCTGCCAAAACCTTTCATCTCACGCTTACGTCTCCATTTGTAATCCTCTATGGTGTACTCTGTGGTCACCTGTCGGCTGAGTGTGAACACAGAGTCTCCTCTGACCACAGCAGTGAACAGAGAGCCTTTACTGTTCCCGTACTGGCCCGTCATGGCCGTCCACTGGCCTGAGCTCAGGTTGTAGCAGTCCATCACACACAGTAAGAAGTCATCACAGGGTCCGTTGCGCATCACATACAGATTATCCTTATGGGCCACCATATAAAGACCATAACTGTGTTGGCGGACGAGCGTGGTGACCAGAACCCACTGGTCCTGTTCAGGTACGTACTCGTGTATATCTGTGGCCCCCTTACCTTTCCAGAGACAGATAAAGATCCTGTTTGTGGCTACAGATGACACCACTGAGGCTGCAGGGCAAGGGAGGGGGGAGACAAAACTCCAGCTCCCATTAGACACCCTGTATCTCTCCACAGATGACAGGGCCTTCATGTTGTACTCCCCTCCCAGGGCGTAGAGGCAGCCCTCATGACCTATCAGAGTAAAGTTATAGCGTAGCTGCTGGGGGCCACAGATGGTGGACCATGTGTTAGCTGCAGGGTTGTAACAGAAACCAGTCTCCACTACCTTCTTGCTTACATCGTGCACTCCTCCGATGATGAAAAGTTTGTTGTCCAGGACGGCCACGCCTGCCATGGTGGTGCTCGTGCTCACAGGCAGATGTGTCAGGACCTTCCACTCTCCGGTGTCTTCGTCCAGGTAGCAGACGGTCCTCTGGAGATCCTGCAGCCGCTCATTGGAGGGCGAGTGGCTGCACACTGCCATGTAGCTACTCGGGAGAAGAGACTCAACGTACTCTACCAGTTTGTTGGGCAAGGTGTGAAGATCCTCCTTCAGGTCAGAGTACACATCTCTGATGAATAAGGCGGAGCTGTGGGACAGCTCCCAGACACCGTAGGTGGCAGCGGTGTGGTACATGAGCAGGCAGTTTTCAGAATTGATGATATTGATCAAGTGCTTGGTGAGAGCCTGCACCTGCAGAAAAGCAGTACACTCGATGGCTTCCACAATCTGGTCGCTGTTCAGCAAGGGTCGCGCCCCAGCCAGGACCCGCAGCATGACCACAAACCCCAGAACCCCCACACATCGCAGGTGGATCTCTTCCTGTTCACACTCTCTCATTCCTGACTGGAACAATGCTCTGAAGTACTCACAGTTCTCAGCCAGAAGGGTTTTGTCCACAACAAAAGAGCTGTGGTGAATGCTGACCCTCAGGCTGTCCGCTGGCTTGGCGCGTGGACAGCTGCTGGACTCCATCACCTCCCTTTCATGACATCCCGGCTGAACTGCACACTCACAACAACAAGTGTTTGATCCACATCAAAACACTACATCCGTGGTGTTTTCCCGCGTACTGCCAGTGAGACTGAAAGCCTCCTGTCTGGATCAGATGCTAGCTTACAGGCTACCCTCTGAGATCAGACTATACATAGCAGGCGGACGTGTGACACAGTTCAAGTACATTATGATGACATGCAGCCAGAGGAGAAAGAGGATCCGGATAATGGCAGGGTGCTGTGAAGGGCTGATAATTTGTGTTGCTCTTTGTTTGTGGCTGACAGTTGTGGAACAGCTGAAGATTTGCCCTTGAGCAGCAGGAACAGTCGGACCAAAACAATAGGTTGTTCCCCTGGGTCACATATTGTGCATGCCACTATCTGAGCAGGACATGCAGTACTCTTGTTAGTAAGTTTAATACTTTTGCAGGAGTAAAATATTTCACAAAAGCTTTCCACTAGTGCTCGGAACACAAAGTGTTGAACATACATGGTTCTTTCTGGAGCTGATGATGGGAGTGAGCCATAAGATACTATTGTGATCACTAGTATAGGCTAAAGAAACAGGGCACAAGTTGTCAGTTGTCAGTTGTCTTGATTTTGTCTTGGGTGGGGCTTACAGTGTCAGACTTTTAAAACTTTTATGGGATAGAATGTGAAAGATAAACAGAGGGAAACAAGCATTATGAATATATCAAAACAAGGGGAGCTCCTGAGGCCTTTGGTGAATGAAATAAGAGCTGTATGAATGCCTTGTGTGTACATAGTTTCAGTTCAGCGGATTAGCTGGTGTTTCCCTACAGTTCAGGTTTTACAAGCTTGGTTTGAAGTCCTTTTCCTAAAATGGAGAGGTCAGTGCATCAGTTGCACACGAGACTGTTTTCCCCTCTCATGGGAGCAGAAGAATCACAGCACAGCACAGTTTCTGGACTATAATGTTTTGAGTCCACTCGGATCTGAGGAGGAAATGTTCTTTTACTTTTTCTGACGCTCATCTGCAGGAATAAAAGACATGCACTTTTCAACTACAGCCTGCCTGTACGGACATGTATTTTTATCTACTTCGGCATTATCAAACAAGACCGCAGACAGACTTTGTCAGCAATAAGTTTGTTGAAAGATAATCATGTCGTCGATGTTCGGGAAAGTGAAGCAGGGTAACTCAGCAGCAGCAGTAGCAGCTCCTGACAGAAGTCCAGCCGACTGTAACCTGGTGCTGCTCGGTGTGATGGGCTCCGGGAAATCAGGTCCCACTTTAACTTGGATATTTAAATTCAAATCTTTGTCAAGAAACTAAAACACAACTTTCTTAGCTGTCTGTCTTGGTTGCTTTTTAATGTAGTTTACTAGTTCACTGAACCAGTCAGCTAAATCACTAGCTCCTAACAAGTAGCAGCTAAATTACTGTAATTCTGCCCTGTTAACGATGTTGTGCTAATTTCCTGCAGCTGACTGCATTAACATAGGCCTACCAGGAAAATGATAATATGACTTATTCCTGTTTCATTAAAAAAATGTTCAGCCCAGTTTCCTAAGCATATGTAGCTTCTTGGTTTAACTGTATGCTGTTTCTTGATTCATTTGAGTTTTAAAGCTAATAACAGTCTAAACTGACAAATGAACAGTTGAATATTCACTTTATTCAGATGTTGTTGTTCCATAACTCCCTCTGACCTTCCTGATATATGTGTCCATTATGAGTTTCATGCTAATGTTAACTGTTAATGTTTATGTAGCTGTTGCTTTCTCAGGGCCGCCGCTGACCCCTGAGGGTCCCCCGAGGCTCACCAGTCACCCACTCTGTGTTCTCTGTTTCTCCCTGTTTTACAGCACTGACTGTCAAATTCCTCACAAAGCGCTTCATCAGTGAATATGACCCCTATCTAGGTGAGATCGCTCTTCTTTCAATTTGATACCAATAATACAGAGACATTCAGTGGTGGAAAGTGCATTTACTCAAGTATTTTCATTTCATGCTACTTTACATTTCTACTCCACTATATTTGAGAAAAACTATTGTACTTTTTACTTCACTACATTCATCTGATACATGTAGTTACTGGGGTTACAGCGTAAGACTACATAAAAACACAAATGATAAGTTCAGGAAACCAACATCATTAAAGACGAAATAGTTCAGACCTTTTTGGCTTGTCTTATTCTTAGTCTAGTTTGAGCCCGTTGCTGTGTTTCAGATTAGTTAGAGTTATTGTCAGTTCCACCTCTCACATGGTGTCATTTTAATAAGCATTTGTAAAGTTTAACTGCTGGACACAAGATGTGTACTGTCTGTTACAGCTCCCGGTGATCAGTTAGGAGTTCAGGGCCTTGCACAGGGGCACCTTCAGTAGGGGTCCGTGCTGGATTCAAACCCAGCCGTGACCCTCCCGTGCCCCCCTCCCAACTTCTGCCACCACTGTAGAAAACACTGAGATGTATTTGTGAGAATGTCTCTCTGTGTCTTTGGCTGCCATACAGAGGACATCTATTCAACAGAAGAGATTGTGGACCAGCAGCCAGTCACAGTGAGAGTGATGGACACCTGTGACCAGGTATGAACACACTGCTGTGTTGGCTGTCAGTGTATACTCACATTATGTTCAGCTGCTGACTTGCCTTCCATGTCTAGTCTCTCTGTGTCGCGTTATCATTTTAATATGTAATATTGTATGTATGTATGTTGTAATATGTAGACTTAAATATACTTTATCGTCGAAAACAAACACAATACTACTACTACTATTACTAATAATATCATTATAAAACATTGGTGTGCTAATAATACTCCACTCATTAAACTACCTCCCCCCCATTAAAAAAGTTCCTGACCCAAACTGAACTCAAGGTCAATACAAGAGTATTAGGCTGTGACTGAGAGTACAGGAGAAGATAAAACAGTCGCTACTTTGGACGTGGAAAGTTTCATAATGAAGGCTGAAGGGCCTCTGCTGCGTATTTAGCCTCATAATTACTTTCATATTGAATTATCTGCCCATGATTTTACCACATGAAATTTTATTTATAAAACATCAGAAAATAGTGAAAATACTCCAATTTAATTTCCAGGAGTCCAACGTGACATCAACAGTCCAAAGATACTCAGTTTAATATTATATAAGACAAAGGAAAGTTGTGATAATCAGCCTGAAGAGACTTGTCAAACACCTCAGGTTACAGTTATATTATTAAGTATTAATATAAGTCTGCATCGCATTACAATACTGCCTGTCACAGGAAAAGTGTCCCTATAAAATAAAATTCATTATTTTCTTTTACATCAAAGTAAAAGTACAAACCCACCTCAGACCCATTTCTGAGTCAGGCCTGACACCTGCTGGTGGAACACAGAAACTGTTCACCACAATACAATCCAATCCAAAATGATACATGCACATAAATAAACACATTCAGCTTTTCAGAAATGAAATAATTGGCACATTGCCACACAACTGCCACTCTGGATAGGACAATAACACAAAAATAATATATAATAACACAAAAATATATTCCAATAATATATTCATATTCAAATAACTTGGCCTTAGTGCACAGTGATTTGCAGAATGAACAGTGGTATAGTTCTTTATGACACAGTGGAAAACATTTTTTATTTACTTTTTATCTGAAAGTACTGGATACCACCAAAAATCCCCTTTCAAACCCCTGTAAATAAATGACAGAGCAGCTCAGTAAGCTATTGATGAAAACATGAATGTGCAGTGTGTGTGTGTGCTATTGAAGGAGGGTCCAGTGAACAGCGAGCGCTATCTGACATGGGCCAGTGCCTTCCTTGTGGTCTACAGCATCGACAACATGGAGAGCTTTAAAGGCTGCCAGCTATACCTGCAGACGCTCGCCCTGCACAACAAAACCTTCAAGCCACAAACGCCCATCATCCTGCTGGGGAGCAAGCTGGACATGGACAGATACAGGCTGGTATCCGTGTGTGTGCGTGTGGGTGGATGGGGGAAATAAAACTAAAAACATTATAAACTCCAAACCCCTCAGACCGTTTGGACCTCCTCCTCTAACTTTCATCCAGTCCATCAGTATGTGTGCTGTGCCTCAGGATACAGATACAGACTGAAAAAGTCTTCTGTATTTCTGAACTCAGCGGGCTACAGAAAGGTTTAGTGAAAGTGACCGCTTCTTCCTGTTGTAGTGGTTTGTGGTAGAATTTAAACAGTCACACTAGATGCTCTGTGAGGCTGGACCTATCACGGCAAAGCTTTGAGATCATTCTGACAGCTGGTCCAATTTGGATCTGGTTCTGAGTTGGTAAAATACTCAGACTGCATTAAGCTCCTTTGTCCAACAAATCCTTTGTAAAATCTTTCATTTACAGGACGTCATAGAGCTGTGGCAGAGTGACATTTTGGCCCAACATGCTAACATGTGCACAGTAACAAAGCAGCCCAGTAGGATAAAGGCCTTCCTCCATATCAGTCAATTCTGCACTTCCTCCATTAGGTCCAATGCAGAAAGTTATGTGTGTTTTATGCAGTGAGATGGAAAGTCAGGGTGTGGAGATCACATTTTATTGCCCATCACAAAGCTGCAATTTATTAACCGCAGTCCATCCCACACCATAACCTGTTGTTTTAATGGCCTTACTCTAACCATCCCTTTAACATAGCTCATTTGTCATCATCACAATCTCCCCACAACCTCAACCTTACTGTAGGTGCAATGCACAGATATTACAGAAAGCAAGGATTGGAAAATTGTTGCCATTGGACATGAAAAAAGATATCATAGAAAGTGACAATGCTAACATGCTAATGTTTAGCAGTGACATAGGCCTCACAGTATTCACCATGGCAGTTTAGCATGTTAGCATTATAAAAATATAAATATATAGGCTAATAATGTAACCTTAGTTACTGTATACATTATAGATTTGGGTTACTTAAGTTCATTATAATAATATATGTTGCTTATAAAATTGCGCCGTAGGCTACACGGCGGATTTGTGTTACAGTAGGTGTAATATAATATTAGTTGGACTTGCAGAATTAGGTTTAGTAGTTGTTATAAGTTGTTGGTTCATAGTATTTTGGTTCCAACATGCCAAGGTTATGGGAGTCTGAAGACAGTGACTTGCTACAGAGCTGTAGCCTATGTAGCCAGCTGGTGTGCATCTTGGTGTCGATTAAAGAAGATTATTGAAGAAGAAATTGTAGCAGCTTATTACCCACAGGTCTGAAGGACAGGAGAACACTGCCAATCCCGTTAGTACAGTTACAATAATATAATATAAAAACACTGTCTAAACCAACAGGTGTTCTTCTTTGCGTGCTGTGTAGCGGCTGTCTTATAATCTTCAAACAAAAAGCAAATGAAAACATAGCCTAATGAATGTAGGCTAACTGTTTAAGCAAATTGTATCAAATGTATGCACAAGTATAAAGAGAAAGCTTTATCAGTGTGACACTCACCTGTATGACAGAGGAATACACAGTACAGCATGACAGTAGTTTTTGTAACAGCTGGTTTCCTCTCAGGCAGGTGAGTCAGTGTGACGCCGAGGCTCTGGCGTCTCGTTTTGGCTGTTTGTTCTTCGAGGTGTCGGCCTGTCTGGACTTCCGCTCCGTGCAGCATGTCTTCTACGAGGCGGTGAGGAGGGCGAGGCGGGGTGGAGAGCGCAGCCGTCTGGTACCGGCCGTCTACATCAGCGAGGACAAAGCGCTGCTCGGCGTCCCGTCGTTCACCACCCCCTGCTACAAGGAGCTGCCGGCCCCCGCCACCGCCAAGCTGGTCACCGTGAAGACGTCCAGAGCTCAGAGCAAACGGAGGGCCGCCACGCTCACCCTGCTCAAAGGCTTTAAGATCTTCTGATACCTTCTGACCCCTCCACCATGTCCACTGATAATGTCATATTTATTAGATACTCTGAGCTAGAAAGTGGGTGGACACAATAACATGAACAGCTACACAGTAGGCCAATAGCCCACAGACTGCTGGCAATTTCAGCGAGGCAACAACCTGAGGAAGAGGAACAAACAGAGAAACAAAAATACAGATGTTGTTTTCCCCATTTCAATTTGTTCTGAATACAGAAAAACTGGACTCTGCTCCACAACTGAACCATCCTACAGAAACTGTTCAGAACACCAGTTTGAATTATTCACACTTTGTTTCTGAAAAATAACCTTTCCTTCATCATTTGGATGGACGGCATGAAACACGACAAAAAAAAAAAGCAGAGAAAATGAATATGAAACCCACCACCTGACACCTGACAGGCAGGTGAAACCATCCACAGAGCAAACGTGGGTCACTCCCATGTCCAGGTTGACAAACACACAGTTAGGGTGTGGGGACTCAGTGGGGGAGTTGAAGGGGGTGTAGATGGAGAGAAGAGAGTCAAAGATACTGTTTAAGCTGAGAGGGACAGGTGCATGCAGGAAGTTAGGTATTGTAGTTTGGCTGCTGATCTGAGCACTCAGGGCTGCAGCAGCGACTAACAGCTCCTCAGAGTCAAAGATGAACACGCAGACATCATACACATCATTTTAGATTCAGTGTGATTCAAGTACACTTTCCGATTTCATTATCTCTGATGTCCATAACAAATAAGCACCCATACATCAGAGTAAAAGGACACTCCTTATAACTGCAGAACTTGTAATCCAGTGCTAGCTGTCTGTACATCCTGTTGTGACAAAAAGTCACAGCTTCTGACTGTCTTTAGCTCAATCTGATTCTCAGTCAGCTTGTTTTGTTGCTGGTCTAAATGGTTTCATTCAGTGCAGTACCAACATTTTCCAGTCTGTAAGATTTCAGCTCGGGTGGTAAAGCCTGCCTAAGCTGATATGTAGGCCTCCACACCGTGTTTAAGATAAGACCCAAGTCACGTGACAGATAACATTGGGTCTTTATATGGACTACACAGTTACACTAACATTGTAATATTACTATGATATAGTTCAGTGTGTTTGTGTGTGGAATATATACAGCCTCCTCTGAGTCACCACGCTGCCTCCTGTGTTTGCTTTCCTGCTGCTTACATTACCATGTTTTTCCTGATCATGTAAATGTTTGACAGTTTATCTTTGGTACTGAAACCTTTGTAGAAAATTAATCGTGGGCTCACAGCCTCAGTCTGCTTCAAACAAAGTGCTGGTCGGGTCGTCTTTCTGGGTCTGAAACTCTTATCAGCTTTTGTAACTATTCATAACAACAATACAATCTGACATCATACTGATTCTCCGCAGTGACTGGTCAGCTGTGTGGCACTGTGAAAGAGGGCGGGGTCTTTACCTCTCTCTCTTATTCATTCTCGATTCAACTCTGTCCCAGTGTAGAGCTGGTCCAAAACACTCTAAACATCTTTTTCTCACTGTTTCAAGACTTTCTCTCAACAAAACAGAGCTTCTCTAAAAGCAAATAAATGTTTTGGAAAACTGAGACTTCATAAGATCTAAGTTGCTCAGTGAGGGTCGACTGTGAGACAGTAGAAGACAACATGTAGTCACCTCTCATACATCGGTTTAAATGTCGATCTATATGATCACAAAGCAGAGCTGCTGTCATTAACAGTGTTGGGCAAGTTACTCAGAAATTGTAATAAATTTGTTACTTATTACTCCTCAAAGAAGTAATAATATTACTTTAGTTATTACTGAGTGATAAAAGTAGTTATGTTACTCCGTTAATTTACTAGACTAGATAAATCACAATCTGCAACTGGATATTGGACGTCCTCACAAACAGATCCCATTCAGTTGGCATTGGTGGTCACACCTCCTCCACTCTAGTGCTCCACACCAGAGCCCCCCAGGCCCAAGCACAAAGTTGTTTTTCATGTGCAGGTGTTTGTTAAACCAAAACACATTCTGACTCCCAACTTCACATATGGAAACTTTTAAAGGCCCTGGGTACCCCTTTAGTGCTGTTTTGGTTTTGTCTCCGCAGTGAAGTTAGCAATATAATGTCAAGTTAGAGTAGTGAGTGTTGTGAAATGGTTGCAGTTTGGCTAGGCAACATAACTACTTTGTTTGGTTTAGGAAAATTATGGTTTGGGATAAAATAAGCATATTAGTTACAGAAGTTACGTTAAGTAACATAACCTACGTAAGTTACGTAGCTTAAATGAAAAAGAAAGTATTAAACCCTGTTTCCTGCTCACAGGCACAGGGTCTTGTCTACTGGCAGAATGCCTTAATATGATATATTCATTATTTGCATCTATATTTATTGATATTTCGATTGTGAACTCATTAGGCCTATTGAATATGATCATGGTGTCTTTTGATCACTGGAATGATTTATTAGGCTAAATGTTTCAGGGTAAATTGAAATAATGTAGATCTAACTCATATCAAAACCGATACTCACGCCTCACACGACTGAATGAAAATAATGATAAATGATGTGTTTCTTGCTGACAGACTCTTCGACTTTCTCCAACTTTAATTGCATCCATTAAAATAAAAGTTAATGGGGGATATAACAGATCATAAAAAGAAAAATCTTTCTAGTTGTTTGTGCTCCTTGTTTTGCTCAGATCCACAATGAACACGTATTTTTTTTACTAGATGGTGAATGGGAAAACAAATCAAACATGAAACATGGGAGAGATACACTTGATCTCTCTCCACTCCGGTATGAAACTCCAGTGAGGTTGTGATGTATCAGATCTGACTCGGGAAGGGTTGGGCAGAGTGTCAGGTCAGCTGATTGAGAAGCAGCCTGTTTTTTTTTAGCAATTGTTGCTAATATTAGCTATCGAAATACCAAGCAAAACAAATAATTAAGTTATTGCTCCTGCTTGCAGGATGAGGAAGAAGGTGGGGGGAGAGCAGGGAAAGGAGAAATTAAACTATTGCTTATCCAGAGTTAGAAGGAGGTAGAGCTCAACAGGGAGAGACAAATGTAATAAGAATGGACAACAGCCAGCCAGAAGAATATAAATTGATCTTTAAGTTGAAGGAAGGGCAATTCGGGTTTAGTTATTTCAACCCAATTCAGCTTGCTGGGGCACTGAGGAAGGAAGCTGAGTGAAATCCTGAATGCTCGGAATTTGGCCGATGGGAAGCTGATTGTATTTTGTAAGTCTGCATTTCAGTTGGCCAAAGCTTGTATAAAAGGGATGATTTATGGGGTCTGACTTGAGATTTCCATGGCTGAGCTGGTAAGGGGCAGTGGGTGGGCAAAGGGTGATGAGGCTACTCAAATTAAAGTTTTTTGAGATGGAGCTAAGAGAGAAGGGGAAGCAGCAACCCAGTGCAGTGTCTATAAGAAAGGCAATCAAGTACAGGAGAGTAAATGTAGAGATGGACAGAAACAACTGTTAAGAGTGTTTGGGGCATTATTCATTGAATGGTTGGGATTAACAGTCAGAATATTCCTCTTGAGATAAAGAGGCTGTAAGCAACAGGGAGACAGCTGACCTGTTGGTCAAGACTTTTCAGGGAGACCAATTGCCTTTACAGCAGTTATTTTAAGGTAGTGGAAAGAATGGTTACAGATAGACTTGTGTATGTCAAGTCATTAGATGGCGGGCCAGAACATAGTCAATTTATCATTTATAATCTGTGATTCAATATGTGCTTCTTTAGCTCAGTCAGTAGTGCTCAGGAATCCTGTTCAAATGGTTGTGTGTTCAATCCTCACTTGCTGCTAGTATTATTTTTCTCCCTTTTCTACCAATAGATTGTGAAGAGAACGTTTTACATGTTCACAATTAAGCATGTGCATTGTTCCACATCATCCTATGGATGCTTATTTTCGTGTCCCCAATCCAATCTCCCGTTTTCTGATGGCTTTTTCAGAGGTGTGTCAAAACTTTAGTAAAAGCTCTCAATTAAACACAACATAAAGTACTGCTGCAAAGACATTCCCACGCTTTTATTTTGTAGACACAATCACTTAAGAGGAAGTGATTATGTGACTAACTTTTGCTGTCATGACTGAGATCTGTTTCAGCAGTCCCTATAAAGTTTGTTTTTTGCCAGGTCATTCAGGCACTGTAAGCATAAATAATGGGACCCTGCAGGGTCAGTCTTATCCCGTTTAATATAATGATGAACGATATAGATAAAGTGGAAGATGGCTTTGGTGGATCTGTTTTTGCAGATTCCATTCTGCTGACTGTTAGCAGAATGGCAGAGAGGCCATAACTTGGGGTATTTGATGAAGCAGAGTGCCTTGGATAAGATGCAGGGTTGGGCTGACTGTATCAAAGACAAAATATGCGCTTTTTGAAAAGAAAACAAACAATCAGGGGCTTTCAGTATATGGACAACCTCTAAAAAGAGTTATGGTCCTAAGTTTTTAGGAGTATCGTTGGATGAAAAATTGACATACAGAGCACACATAGGAAAAGTGTAAAGTATAACTAAGTGTGAGAAGGTCATAAATATTATGAGATGGTTGTCTGGGTGTTCTTGTTGATGATGAGTTATAAGACCATGATAAGAGCAATTATTGGATTATGGGTGTTTGGTATATGGCTCAGCAGCCAAGTCTGTGCTGGCTAAGTTGGATGATGTTCAGGTCAGGGCTCTGAAGCTATGTACTGGGGTTATTCTGCTATTGGGGGCAGGGGAGGCTCCACTGAGACTGCAGCATACAAAATTAGCAATAAATAATTGGGCAACGTTAAAAGGATTAGCTACAGCTCCTCCATCATTTTCTCAGCTAGAGCAGTGCTGGGAGTTTGAAAAGGGTGGTAATAGGATTAATAGGCACAGTTATATATTCAAATAGTAGTTCTTCAGTTAGAGGAGATGGGATTAAGTGGGGTAGAGGTAGTATGCTGGCCACCTATCCCTCAATGGCTAGGGACAGTAGTGGATGTAGACTTGTCTATTAAATAATGAACGCAGGGTTTTCTTTGGGTACCAGCACATGTCAGGGTTGAGGGTAATGAGGTGGCAGATAGGGAAGCTAGGGCAGGTGTGAGCAGGGACGGTGTAGTGGTCCACTTAGGTAGTATGGAGTGCTGCAGCATCATCAGTGAGAGACTGAGTCAGAGTATATGGAATATGGGATGCAGACAAAAGAGGGAGAAAGATGTACAACATTCAACCTGCAGTTCAGCTTGGCAATAGATTGAGCATGCCTTGGAGGGATGACGTTAACTGACGTTAAACTGGGATGTTGCGGTTTAGCAACTTGTCTGACGCTAGTGGGGAGGCACAGAGATGGCAATTGTGAACACTGTGGAGTCCTGGAATCTGTCATACACGTCATAATGAATTCCCCGCTCTATGCCAAGCAAAGGACGGATTTATTCAAAGAATTAGGCAAACTGGGAATGGAAATATGTTTCAGCAGAACACTGCTGGGCGATGGGGAGGAGAAATAAGAGCTTTAGAACAGTCTGCAAGATGGACCTGACTGACTTCCAAATCGAGTGAGGAGCAAGGAAATATGAAAGAAGAGACATGGGATGTACCCCTCTATAAATCTGGTAAAGGGGAGGTACATTTGATCAGGGACCACTGTTCATCACTACATCATAATTTATTATCTTCCTGTATAATACAAACAGTCAAACACATGCTCATCTGCTGAAAATCATGTTTTAATTTGAAGGAAAGCAAAAAGAACCATGTTCTTACAGTATGTGACCAGAGGGATAAAAGGAAGTGTTTAAAGAGGTAATTTTATGCTTTTTGGCCTTTTCCCTCTTTATTATGTTATAATTTTTTTAAGAGGTTTGCAAAGTGAAAAAGGCCAAAGTTCACCCCAAAGGGAGTTATCATCTCACACAGAAAACACTGCTCTGACGTGCCTCGATTGTAGCCCAGCCTTTACTTCCGTAACTTATCTGCGTCACTTTGTAACACGCGTCATAATGCTCGCCTAGTGGCTAATGTGGCACGCCCTCTAATACACTTGTGGAGAAACACACTGAGCTGCAGCACACACACTGACAAGACATCCACCCCCCCCCCCCCCTCACCCTCCCTACCAAACATTAAATACCCTCCATGCAGGCTGAACCGAAGCCACGGTTACCAGCGTTGCTTTGGATCACACTACCTTACCTGTCAGGTAGGTTACCCACCCTACCCTTCTAAATTGTCTACTAGTCCTTACCTAGGTATTGTGCATGTGCAGCTCCCAACAAAGATCGAATAGAAGTCAGATGCCTCACTCTGTAGCTAAAAGAGTTCCAACACACAGGGTGAAAAGAGGTGCTGCAGTAATGTGCAGTATGACAAAATATGGTGTTTTTAAATCTGTTCTGGTTCAACTCGTAAATAAAACTACAAATCTGAAAATGAGCATTATATGACCACTTGTGAAACAGGCTTATTTGCTTTCTTTCTGAGAGTTAGCTAAGACAGTTAGCGCATCTTAGCATAGACTCAAAGCAAGGGGAAACAGCGAGCCTGTCTCTGTAAAAGTAAAAAAAAAATAGTATAGTATATAGTAGAGTATCAACACCTCTAAAGCTGCCTATGAACACATAGTATCTCCGTAGTTCAATCTGTATACAAAGAGAAATGGAAAAACAACTATTTGAAGACTCCCTGAATCTACTGTTTAAATATAGTTATTGATTATGATGTTTAAGATGTTTATTAATGTAAGGTGACCATACGTCCTTATTTTCACCAGAAATGTCCGGGATTCGGCTTTTGCTTTTTACAGTCGTCATTCATTGTGTGCGTTTTTGCATTGCTTTGTAGCAGCCCGTTCTCATCTCAGGGCGTCATATACCGACGATTTGAGAAAGAGTGACAAAGCGTAGGTATTTGATGCAAAAGGTAACCCTCTCTTCTGCCCTCTCCGCCGGCAGAGACAGAGTAGGGAGGCGTTTGGGAACTTTTTTTGTCCAAGCGTGTGCATTAAATTGCTCCTCAATGTCACTTTTCGTGCACCGACCAATCACGGCCTGGATGGAGCGGGACATTAAACAAATGTTGATGTAGTGCTACAGCAAACTTTCAAAATGTTGAACTCGTTCTGCATGAATGGTTATGATTATTGACAAGTTATCCCTTAGCATTAACAAATTAGAGACTAACCACCACGTAGACCATTTTCTTGCTCAAGGATTTAATGAATGAGAACAATGTACAATAATGAAACTAACTGGAATTAATATTACACTAGCGGTAAGATATTTACAGTATGATACTTTCATCTGTAATTATAATTAATACAGTAATATTGGCCCTAATCAAATCTTAATAAGACAAAAAACGGTTTTATTGCCCCGCCTCTTTCTGTCTCTCCCTGTCTATGTCTGCTCTGTTGACTTTCTCCATCAGTAGTAGGCTATGTATTATAAAGGAGATGCGTTTGTATGGGAATAATCTGGAAAATAAAGACCTGTATATTCACTCACTCCACTCAGGTGGACTATAGTTACTCAAAGCAACCAGAGCTTCATGATGATAAATATAAATCCAGTCAGAGATCTGAGGAAATGCAAATGCAAAACATACACACCAAAACTGCACAAAATTTATTTAGGCCTACATAAAATTTGAATCCTGGTGCCTTATTTGTGATTTTTTTCTTGTGATCTTTTTCAAAAAAATAAATAAAGGAAAACCGCCACATTGGCTAGTGGGCAAAAAAGTTAATGTCAAGCCCTGATTGCAATACAGCGTTTGATGAGTCTGCTCCCTGGAACAAGCCCGGACACACATGTATTTGTATTATTACTTGAAATTATCACTAAAATTGAAAGAACAACCGTTCACATTGATTGGGTTACAAGTTACATAAAAGAATTAGTAAGTGTGAGAGTGGGGACCCAAAGGCCCCTGACTGCGGTTTGAAACAGTTACAGCATGAACCCCCCCTTTCCAGCTGTCAGTGGGCCTGCGTTTGAATAGTACTTCCAGTCTTTATGTTAAGCCAAGCTAATCATCTACAGGCTCCAGCTTACATTCTGTAAGATTTGGCGACTTGTTAATAAGGCCAGCTGTACACGTGCGTTTGTTATGATCATGTTACTTCAAAAACTAACAAGTTGTCAACTTCTAATATAAGGGTTCTCCCTACTGCACAGTCCTGACTCGACCTTGGGTATGGGAGGCGGACACGCTAACAAGGAGGCTAAAACCCATGAGCTTTACTCACTGCACAGCCATCTGGCTTCCGTTACACCAACACAGCGACACATCAAGCAAGTGCAACAGCACAAAACATAGCAAAATTATTTACTAGTCTAACTGTGTACACTGAAAGAATGCCAGCTCGGCGTCTGTCTCTCACCCTTTAATTTCACAAAGCTCTCACCAACGCCAACTCTTGCTTGGTCACTCTTTTCTCTTCTTAGCTTCCTCTGTCAATGTCCTCTTCGGTCTCTTCACCTCTGCACTTAGCTAACGTTATACCTGCTGAGCCTGGTTACGTCGCCGGTCTCCAGCGCTACACCGGTTCTTTTCTCCAACAGCAGCAGCATAATGTTGCTTGAAACTCGGGTAGCCAACAAAGCTACACAGCAACTGGTGCAGGAGCACTTGCAGTAAAGTTACTGATATCTAAGTGTGTTATACAGGAAGTTTGCTAACATCAACTCGAGATTTATAGCCAGCAGCTAAACCTCTGTAAAACCTCTGGCAGATTTTGCTCGAGTCGACAACTTTTCTAACACAGGCAAACAGCAAGTAAGTGCAACAACACAAGACATTAGCAAGCAGCTAGTAGGTAAGTTATTGCTTATTAATTACATCAAATACATTTATTAAAACATCAAGAAGCCCAGCTGGGCATCTATCCTTTCAGCCCAGTCGGCCAGATATTTACTCTTGTCCTGTCTCTTGCTCGGTCACTCTCTCCTTTTCTCTTCCTCAAATGTCTTCTTCAGCCTCTTCGCAGCCTCTGCCATGATATCCATACTGAGAATACAGAGCTAGCTTTTCCCAAAGAATTACATTGTACATTATATACTTTTTGCTTCTTCCCTCTAGCTTGCTTGCTGCAGGGTTGTGATGGTGCAGTAAAACATTACGCCATTGTCCTGATACATATCCTGCCCAGGATTCCAGTGTTACATAGTGCAGTAGCTGCCTTACGTTACTATATTACTGTCACTCCCACTCATTTAACGATATGCCAAAAAGAAAATCAGTGTCAAATTTGTATTGTACTGAAAAAAACAATCATGTTTACCTCGCGTAAAACAAAACATGACTTGTGCTGAAGTATTAATCATTACTTGAATTAGGAACTGTAAACCGTAATATTATTACAGTAACGCGTTACTGCCCAACACATTCAGCCAGGTGACAGATTAGCTTACCACACAAACTGGAAACAGGTGGAAACCTAGTTCTATGTAAATATTTAAAAATATTACGTTATATATATATATATATATATATATAAAATCTCTATAGTTTTGAAGCCGAATTTTTTAACTTTTGGACAGAGCCAGATTAGCTGTTAAACCGGTTCTAGTCTTTATGGGAAGCTAAGCTAACTGCCTGTAGGCTCTAGCTTTATATTAACCACACAGACATACAAACAATATGCATTTTCTAATCTAATCTAACCCTTAAACAGAAATCAAATAAATTCATTTACCAAAACTATTTCTTTGACAAACATAAACTCTGGTCTCTTATAAGGTGAAAAACCATATATATCATGGATAGCAAGAATTTGAGGGTTTTTTTGAGTTTCATGTAAATACACAGTTTATCATGTAGAAGAAGAAGTATTTTATTTTCAGCCAAAGTAATAAACTACCCATCCTCATGTCATAAATCACTGTTACACATACATTATTCTGTTAACATTGTGCCCCAAACTAATGGATTGTTTTTAATTTTAGCGAATGGGCCGTTAAGTTCTCAATGATTGATCTGTTGGAACTTGGATGTAATGCTTTGTAACTTCATAGTATTAGCAGTCCATCAAAGTTGTACATCCTTTGGGTGAAGCACTGTGTCACAGGCCGAGATTATTCACACTTAATATAATTATATATATATAACATAATCTTGTAATTTGTCACTCCATCGTCTTCACTGCCTCATCAGCCTCCAGCTCAGCAGCTGACACCTCCTCCCGTTTCTCCTCCTCTGCTGCAGGATCTGAGTACAGGTTGGAGGTGTTGCCATCTTTCCATGTGAGCACGATGTTTCCTGCTTTGAGCTCGCTCACTTCCCCATTGGATGAGGAGGGTAAGTTTCCGTGCAGCAGCATGTCACGTAACAGTGATGATTTGCGGCTGCTGTCGTCTCTGTGTGGTGAAACGACCAACATCTCCTCACCTTCGCTCTTCTGAGCCCTAGCAGCTGCTGCTTTGTACTTAGCAATCTTTTTTCTGTTCCTGAATGAAAAAAGACAAGAAACTATGTCTCTCAGCAGCCTTTAAAAATATCAATGTTATACATTTTCCCCACAAGTGTTGCTATGAAAATGTCGTATAACTTTAGGTCATACTTGCTGGCCATGGCTCCCATTCCCAGCAGCAGAAAACCAATAAGAAGACAGACGAAGGCCAGTCCCAGCAGCACAAACTTCCATGTGGTCGCTGCAACCGGAAGAAGACGACACTCTGGTAAACGTGCAGCTCATATAATAATATTAATGTAGTGTTTCACAATAAATAACACAAAACAACAGCAAGAGGCTACAAGAGACAGGTAGCACATGTGTACGAGTATCCTGCTTATGATCAAGTTTTGGAGGATCCTGAGGAGAAAGAGGAGATGTAATTTTAAGAACTGTAATGAGGCAATCGAACTTTGTTCTGTAAAAAACGTACTGGGCACCAATTATAATTTAAAGCAGAGTATTTTTATGAATCTTCAGGGGATGTTTTACTTTGGCGGAAAAGGCTGTGGGTCTGTTCTTCAAACATGGCTTAAAGGGATAGTTTAGGATTTTTTAAGTAAGTATAAGGTAGTCAGTGTATTACCTGCAGTATAGATGGAAGTCAGAGAATCAGCATTTTGGAGAAGCAGAGACTTGTACTGGCATGGAAGCTAAGCAATGTACCACTGTGGACAGGGTCAGCAGAAAAACATATTTAAGCCACCTAAATGAAAAGGGACTGACAGCTGATCTCTGGCGGCATTATACAGTATGTGTCCAAGTTACGCTGATGCATTGGAATACGAAAGTTTTATAGTTGAGAAAATGTAGTTCCAAGGGAAATGGCTGTTTGACGGTAAGGTAAAGCGCTGAAAATATTCTAAATATAGCGTACACTGGAACTGATATAAAAAACATTTTTTTGGTGGGCGCCATTTGAAAAATCCCATACTATCCCTTTAACTAATCCAGTGTTGGTAGAAAAAAAAACAGTACAGCAATGAGGTGAAGAAGAAGCCGCACAAATCTTAGTTGGACAAGCGACACAAAGGTGAGATTTATGATTTATCAGAATTGTTTTAAACAGCTCCAGAACCTTAAAGAACTGAAACATCCAGACTTATCCATGTATTACCAACAAGATCCAGACTTCAGTGGTCTTTCTGAGGATCTGAGATGAGTGCTGAGCGCTCAGCCTCACTGGAAACTGACAGGTCAGAAATGTATCGTGAGTCTGAAACCACCAAGTGACGCTTCCTGTCTGGCAGGTTGCTACCAGGCATTCAGTGCTCTTTTTTATTAGCACCAGCTGAGATCCTGCAGAAGCTGCAGCATTTGGATTGGTCTGGAGTGATGAGAGGGATTTCTGACACACTACATTTTTATGTGGATGAAGCGCTTTAGGAGCAGCAGCAGCACCACCACCTACGGTCCTCTGTGCGATAGTACCAGCGGAGGTACTCTCTCTCTTCCTCCGTCATGGTCCTCAGCTCGCCAGTCTGCTCCTCTGCAGCCTCAAATTCTTCTGGGTCATCAGACGCCCTTCTGGATCCTGGAGTAAGAACAAGCACACAATATTAATGGAATATAGAAATCAAATTTAAATGCAGTGCCTGCCAGCCTGAGTCACCTGTTCTGTTCCTGTAATCCTCGTTGACTTACTGAGTTTTTCCTGGCAGATGTCCCCCTCATCCAGAGATCTCCACTTTGAGTGTTTGCTGTCATGTGTGAGAATGACACGCTGGCCATTTATTGACAGCAGCAGTGACGTGTTCCTGCTGATAAGTCTGTCCCTGTCACAGTCCCACACTAACGCTGCATCGTTCACTTCAGGCCCCTGGCAGGCCCGGGTCTGGACTGGCTCTCTCTGCAGGGCAGACAAACATCTGGATGATGTGACACACATCAGCATGCCATGATCGATCCAGATCCACTGCTGAGACTCTGAGTCCAGGTTGCACTTCTTCAGCAGGACTTCACCTGTAGCTGCCGAATCCTCCAGACAAAGGCTGCACTGGGTGTTGTGGATCATGAATGCCCTCGCCCCTGCAGGTGTTATGTCAGGTCAGGTTTAAATTAAATGCTGTTAATATAGAAATCAGTTAACTTACCTGGATAATAACTCACCTAACAGGAGGGGAAACAGTGAGATCCAGGCACCCAACATATCTAAAGAGGATGGAGTATTGTTGTTAGAAATCACAGCAATTTCAACCTTTTCATAAAAAGCAGTGATTTGAGGAAAGTGAGGTTATTTTTACTGTGAGTGACATGATGCCGTCTGTATTATACCAGTTGCTTCACACATGATTTTCTCTAAAATATATCCAGTTTCTTGAAGTCAGCAGAAAAAAAACAACAACAAAAAGGGTAGAGCAGTAGCCTCTATGTAGCCTAAGGCCAAAGTCAGGGCAAAATAAATGCGAGTCACAGTGTTCAGTCCTGCTCAGTCTGTGGTCACAGGGAAGCGGCTGACCTCAGTTCCGTTGCTCCCTCACCCCACTTAGGTTCTTGTGCCACCCCAGGCATGAAAATCTCCTCCTCCCAGTAGTCCAAAGCTCCAACAGTCCCAGTCTGGGGAGTGAACTTAGCTAAAGGAACGCCATCTGCACGGCAGAGCCTACTAGCTAATGGCAGCTGTAGAGGCAGAGCAGCCAAAGGACATCAGAGGGAAAAAACAGAAAATATTTTCTCCATAAAATATGATCCAGTTTCACCAAAATCAGTCCATGAAGTTATTAAGTTGTGTTTTTGTACAGTAATCAATGAGACCCAGTCCTCAGAAACAATGGTTTGAGGGGGCGAACACCTAAAGACGCACCACTGCTAACTAACTAACTAATGAATCTTATTTCTGTGCCGCTGAAAGTTTAAGAGTAATTGATGGGTGGCCGTCATGATGTTATTGGTTGATAGGTTCAAGCTTATTAAGCACAAGTCATATTTTGTTTTACTGGAGGAAAACACGATTGTTTTTTTGATATAACAATACAAATTTGACATTGATTTTCTTTTTGGCATATTGTTAAATAGGTGGGTAATAAAATCAGGGATACAAGGGTTAAAAAGGCAAATTTCATTTTATCTTGATTTTAAATGACTTCACGGCCTTGCTGCAGAGTACATCGCTGAGCTGAACAGATCACTGTGTTCTGCTCACTCTCACAGTGATGAGCTTTTAGTTCACAAACCCTCAGTATTGTAGCCTACTGTATTTTACCTTATCTGCAATTTTGACCTCTGATAAGCAGATTTAATATTTTAGAATATAAAATAAATAACACTATTATAACGCACATGAATGTGTTTAAACCGAAGACCACAAAGGAAACATAAATGTTTGAATTTTGTGGGGCCAGTATTGTAGTTTCTTCAAATGTGTGTTGGAATATTTGAAACTGTTTACTTAGATCTGGGAATGTGCACAAGAATGTGTATATCTGAATAAGATTTGTACGTGTGCAAATATGTATGCAAATGACCTTGTATTCATGAAATTCATAAAAGTGGAGGTATTTATTCAGAATTCTTCAGTTCCACATCAAGTACAGTATGCCTCTCTATGCCTCTCTCTTAAGTCTGCATTACTTGCTCTGGAACTGTTTGTGATATTCACTGGTGAGGACAGAAAGGATAAGCAAAATAATAAATCTTTCCCTTCAATTAAACCATTCTATTGCTATACCATATAACACACATCAATCCATTCTGTAACATATTGCACTCCACCATGCTAGCAGAATACTGTACAATGCTTTACTGTGTCGAATCATGTCGCAAGATACCACATGCCCTGAAATTAGGACCACTATTAATAGAGTTAGTGACTTATACTCACTTCTATGATGCTCCGTCTCTGGCTGAGATGAGAAGGAGGGAAAGTCTAAGAGTTCAGCAGTCAGAAAGATGAAAGAAAACCCAAAAGCTTTCCAAAGTTCACAGGGAGGAGCCTGCAGATCTTTTCATTACTCTGCACTTACACTGAATTGCCATCATAAGCAGAGAGATTATACTGGATATGACATTATGTGCTTATTTATCAAGGACAGTCTGAAAGGAAGTTGTTTAGTGTCCTCTGTGAGTTGTTCAGATGTTTCATATATTTGTACCATCTACATGTGATATTAAATATACAGGAACTGCAGAGCCATTGAAACAAAGTTCAGTCCTTTGACCTTGTTGCTTGGTTACTGTTTAGACAGCCTCGCAGTAACCTTGTCTTTTCTGTTTGGGAGATTACATGACTCACTGGTCAAACACCCACACAAACACACACTGAGAGTGCTGTTACTTTTGGTTGTTAAAGTTTTTATTTTTATAGCAGAGGTGTGGAGAGGTAAATAACCTCTGTGTCACTGCAAGAAAGAGGACATATTTCTATCTGTTGTTTGGAGCCAGTTATTCTAAATATGAGAACCTGTGACTGTTACAATTAACAAGTAAGACTGGTATGCTACGCAGATCACAATAAATGCATAAACATGTTCTGTATTTATACCCTTTTCTTTACACTTCAAACGTCCAGCTGTTAACCAACACAGTGATCATTGTTCCTACTCCCTCTGCTGGACACTTTGACTTACTGCATGATGAAGTCTGGCGATTTTACATTGACTGTCGCTGCATTTATTAACAGTAAAAAGATCAGATTAAAATGCTTCCCATCACAATGTTTACAAGAATCGTTCTAACACAACGGCCTTCATTTGTCTTGTAAAAGGATTCATTAACAAAGTAAAAATATAAAAAAAGTATAAATCAATGCGCACCGATACGATAATCGATGGGTACCGAATTTGGTTCAGAGTCAGCAAAGGCAAACTGTGTGACCTATAGAAAGGTTGTAGTGATTTCATTTTTATATCCTTTTAGCGTAATTATTTTACCCCAAGAAAATTCCATAGCTCTCACAAACAGTAATACCTAAAAAATGCAGGTACTCTGCACTCTGCCCTTGGATAATCTTCATGGAAGGGTAAAATGTAGTGTGTACCAATAAAATGTGTTCATCATCTATACAGATGTGGGACAAATGAAAGGAAAAAGCTGAATAAAAGAGTGAATAATTAGCACATTCAATGACATACACAACACTGCCTAATTACATGACAAATCTCTTTTAAAGGTGTGTCCTTGTCCAAGAACAATTTTGATCATTTAGCTTTTGGAATTAAATACATCTTTGTTTTACCAAATCATGTGACATTCACGTTAGTCAAAAGCTGACATGGCAACTACTGACAGCTTGTTATCTTTAGCAGAGGGTTATCGCCCCCCCGCCCTCGGCACGTAGTAGTAAAATGACCTTAGACATTAGCAGGAACAAGCAATGCTCTCTTCTTCCATAAAGAGAAGGCCATCCTACATTCTGCTGGAATGTACCACATAACGAAGCAATGCACCAACAGAGACAGAAGAAGACTGCTTGCAAGTAAACATGGAAGTAAACAATGCAGGATTTCAAATATTCAATAAATCAGCTCTGCAAATATTTAATGATGGTCTGTTCACCCCACTGCCATCTGGTTCGGCAGCATGGAAGTATATGTTGCACTGACCACAAAAGAGTTGAGCGAGTGCAATAGATATTCTGAGCGCTAGCCAGTCTGCAAGTCAACCTTTGATAGCTCAAAGAAAGGATTCATAAGCGCAGAATCAGATGTGTGTGAGGAGGACAGAATTGTGAATGTCAGATTATTTGAGAATGAAGATGTATTGAATAACTACATTTAAGCAGCAATAGAGATTATTATGCTTGTAATGATCAAAGCTGTTCGTCTGCAGGGTTGTGGGGTAACGGATTACATGTAACGGCGTTACGTAATCAAGATACAAAAAAAAGTAACTGTATTTCATTACAGTACAGAAAATAAAGACGTACTCAGATTACAGGTCCGTTTTGAAAAATCGGGAAGTACTCAGAGGGATTACTTTCAGCACAAAGTTTCCATGAAACAGAAAACACGGAGCTATCGGGCACCACACCCCGCCATCATTCCCTGCTGGGTCCCCCCTGTCCTGAAAATCTCCAGAGCTTGAGTAAAGGTAGACACCTTTATACGGTCTATGGTAAACACTAGGGTTTCCACTTTCAATGCAGAAAAATAAGAGACGACTACCGCAGCGGGCGCCACACCACTCAGGGGCCCGCCAACCACAGGCACATGCACTCAGTCTCTCTCTATCACAACTCTGCAGTCTAGTATATTGTCAGAATTGAATACACAGCTATGACAATAATAAACATAGGCCAACAATGTGTGACAGTAAGACCACAAAAAAAACAATTGCATGCTCCCTCAAAACTTGCGACATCTGTGGCATTGTGCTGTGTGATGGAACTGCATTTTTGAGTGGCCTTTTATTGTGGCCAGCCTAATGGTGCTGTCAGACCAAAAGCGAAGCGAGCGTTTGGGGCGGTCAGTTTACATACAAAGTAGAGCCGCGATTTCCTGTCGGGCGGCGCGAAGCGACGCGAAGGGGGCGGGGCCGGCTTACCTTCACTGGAGCTTGTCAGCAGCTAGCCTTCATGCACATCCGGTTCCACTGTTGTTGTTAACGAAACTGGACATTACTTGGAGAAAAGAAAGCGAGGAAGTTGAACTACCTGGTGAGTTCAGAAAACATGTCTGTAACTTTATTCCAGCTATCATTTACTTTACTTTACTTTACTTTACTTTACTTTACTGTGACCAAGTTAGCATAGATTAGCCCTGATTGATCCAAACTCCATTCAGAAAACAAACATTTTAGAAGTTGTTGTCCTGCTGTCTTGCTGACAGACCTGACAAAGCATGAATTCACATGTTTAACAAATCTGCATCATGTTTCAATTATTTCGGCATCAGTTTAATCCGTTTATTGCTATTTACTCACAGCAAAATGTTTACTTTGGGTTCATACAGCTGTAGTAATGGCAAGTTGTGTTTATTCATGTTATCGTGTTAAAATCGCCTTCTCGCGTTGTGTGTGAACACAAGTGAGGAAAGCATCACGATTGGAAAATTCACGGTTGGTCTGAATGCCGCATTAGGCACACCTGTGCAATCCCCATGTCTGATCAGCATCTTGATATGCCACACGTGTGAGGTGGATTGATTATTTCAGCAAAGGAGAAGTGCTCACTAACACAAATTTTGAAAGATTTGTGAACAGTATTTGAGAGAAATAGGCCTTTTGTGTAAATAGAGATCTTTGAGTTCAGCTCATGATGAATGGGGGCAAAAACAAGTGTTGCGTTTATAATTTTGTTCAGTGTATAAAAGTACTTTACGAGCACTGACCCTTATGTTTTTTAACTACTACTACTACTACTACTACAACAAACTCATAAAATTCTAAATATACCTACTCAAAACGCTTAAAAAGGTGAACACAGTGTGAAATCACTTTAATATGTACACATTACAGATATAATAAATTACAATTAGCTGGTTAAAAGCCTGGGGAACATGTGATAGGTTTATGTTACTAGATTGCCTATCATTTATTTCTCTGACTTTTTAACAGTGAGGTTGCTAAGAACTTCACAAGCAAAAAGCCAAAATAAACGCTATTTAGCTATATGCATATGTTAGCTTTTTACCTCAGACTTTCTGCTAGTGGAGTTGCTTGTTGGCAACAGCTTGATTACAGTCAGAAGCCCCATAGCCGGATTGGCTATGGGGCTTCTGACTGTAATCAAGCTGTCTGTATACTGTCTATGATCTGTTTCTGGGGGCTAATTTCTGCAGCCCTCCAATAATGCAGCCCAAAGCTTTGTATCACTCTGTTCTTTATGTATTATTTATTCTTCACAGAAACAGAAACAGAAACCCATATTTCTGTTTGCTATTAATCTACCTGCTACTTTAGATTATGTGTTTATTTCATTCTGTATACCTCTGTCAAAACAATACCTTTCTACCTGTTCTAGAAAATCGTCTTACTCCACATTTCCATATTTTCAATTTTCGCCCTAGTTTTTATTTGTTAAGAACAAAGTGTGTGCTTTTGTGTGTTTGAACAGTGGGATTGTGGCAGTAGTCATTCTAATCTACCACCTCAGTGTGAGCTGCAGAAAGGTGAGACATTTCTTAGGTCAGGGTGTTGGGAGAGGAGAAGAGTGACTGGGGACTGAATGTGAGGGTGTTGTTTAAACATGTTCATACACATTTTGAACTGTATATGTCTGCGTGTATGTTTTGTGTGATGAGATGTTTGCCTTTGTGACCTAAGGCTTAGGCGAACTCAGCAACGTGAAACCAGAAACTGCTGTGCCTTCATCTTTACTGAGACCTAACTGCACCACAACATGCCAGATCAAGCTATTGCACTTGATTGGCAGAGAGTGTTCCTCTCTGACAGATCACAAGACTCTATGTTAACATCAAGGATCCTTGGTGCTCAAACACAGTAAGAGTGGGTAGACAATCTTGACCACATTACATTCCTCTGGATGCAAATGTAAAAAATGCACTACAGACACTGTCATCAGCTATCACATGACAAAAACAATCGGATGGTATCCAAAGAGGGTAAAATCAAGAGTAACTGGACTTGATTGAAGTTACTAGAAGACGTTTTGTCCCTCATCTGAAAGAGACTGACTGGTAGGGAAACTCAACTATTTAACCTTTGTGGGGCTGTTTGCCTATATCATCAATACCGCTGGTTCGTTAGTGCTCCTGGCTGTTGTCACAACAGTTCTTATGGTCGTTAGAGCCACCCAACAACCATTGTTGGCGTCTTTACCTGAGGCCAAGTGATTGTTAAGTTTCCTGGGAGTCTGCGTAAAAGTAATCTCTATGTGTAATCCCTGATTTTACAAAATTAACCTGTACTGTAACAGAATACAGTTGCTATTTTGTGTATCCTGATTACATAACACTGTTACATGTAATCCGTTACTACACAGCCCACTAGGGAATGCAATACCTTGGCCCATGTTTATGTGAAGATTCGTGGCAGCTACAAAACCCTCCATTTTGGTCTATCACACCACATTTCTCTGCTTCTCCTGCCACACCCAGCTGATTAAAAGGGTCAAACCAACAAGTGTGGACAGATGGG